CAGCTATTCTATGAATTTTATCTTTCTGTAGATATTGCCCCAAACTTTCTGATTTGCTTCATACTGGACCAATTACTCTCTATACCTAGTTCAGGGCTATTGTCCAGAGATTTGCCTTCCCCTTAATCCTGGACCTTCTGTTCGATTCTGCCTTGGGTTGGAGGTTCTGCTTTCTTAATATTCTGCCTTTCTCTTTCCTAATTTATTTCTTTTTCTTGAGGGAACACATCGATGATGGAATACATCTAGAGAGACCTTGCATGTCTGAAAATATCTTTATTTTTATCCTCACCCTTGAGTGATAGTTTGTATGGGTATAAAATTCCAGGTTGAGATATTTTTTCCCCTCCAAATTTGGGAGTATGGGCTCTGGATTCGTTAATTTGCATTTGAAAAGTAAGCTTGGCTTGAGAAAAAGTTATTTACCATCTCTAGGAATTGGTTAGCCCCGTGAGCAGCAGTCCCTCCAGGGTCAGCAAGGTCCTAGATGTCAAAGCATCAGAACACATAAACTAACAGACATGGTTAATACAGAAATACAATGTACTTCTCCTTTGGGCTAAGGTCTATTCAAAGTGAGTCTGTGGGTAGTCTCAGAGAAGTCCTGCTTCAGTGTTCATGACGCTGCAGGTCTGATCTCTCTCTCTCACCCAAAAGAAGAGAAGAAAATGTAAGAAAATCTGTCCACTATTTTCACAGAGCACTCCAGTGACCCGTCTCTGCTCACAAGCACTGGGGGCTGCCCTGGGGAGACAGGGGACCTTCAGCATACAGGGAATGGCCAACCTTGCAGTATCGAATCTCTGTGTCTCTCAGTATATTTGATATACTGGAAAGTGTGAGCATGCATGTATACTTCTCAGGGAGATCCATTCCTACTTCAGTAGTTTTCCCAATTCCCACTGCAACTTATTATGCATGGAAAACTCAACATGAAGCTCAAGACGGTGGGTTAGAATCAAGTCCTGCTGGGAGTGAGTGTCTGTTCCCTAAGAACCACTGACATAAGCAAAAAAGGGCCACTGGCAAGGGAGAGGGAGCATTCTGTGCTGTAGGTCATATTCCCCCTCTCTGGGGCGGGTGTGTTTGGCCACCTTCCAGCAAGTGCTGGCTCTCTGCCACACACATGCCAACACGCCCAGGAGAGCAGACTGCGTGCACCAGGATTTTAGCACGTGTAAGGAACAGGCTCACGAATCTTGTCTCTCTGGAAACTTTTCCAGTCCCTTGAATGAGTCCAGGGCAGCTGCTGAGGTCTCAGACAACCAGATCTCAGCTGGAGGCAGGGGCTGAGCCAGGAAAACTGCTCCTAAGCAATAATAGCCCTTCAACCCCAGTGTCCCCACGTCCCCATAAGACACCGATGAAGCCGGCATAGCAGCAGGCTCCATGTGCATGGAAGCATCATTGACTGTCCGGTTGGCCCCTTTCCTAGGTGGCTGTCCACTGCCACAACAGAGGGGGGTGAGCACCCCTCCAGCCTCATCTCCCTCCACAGCCCTCCACACAGCCTGCGATCCCAGCAGGCACATACATCCTGGAACAGCCAGAGATTCTTCCAGACGGATTCTGCAGTCCCTTCCAACTCATGTTCTCTGACCGTGGAGTGTTGATTGACAGACTCCTCCTTTGGAAACCATTCTCCCTGGGGGCAAGGCCTGTTTCTCCGTTTCCTTCCTTGAGGGGTCTTCTCCCTACCACATCTCCTGAAGTTGGGCACAGAGTCCGTTCCACCGCATGGCTGTCCTGCAGGCTGGCAGCAGTATCTCAGAAGACCACAGTCCTGTTGCCAAAGATGGAAGCCCAGGTGCTGACGTGCCAAGTGCACACCCTTGGCCTCTCTGTGCCCCGGAGGCTTCCCGGCCCCGTTAGCACTAACACTCCTGTATTCAGTCCTGCACACTCGAGCCTGCAGTCTCATGTTATTAATACTAGAATAGCTTGGCACACGCTCAAAGACTGCGCAGGGGCTCCCAAGCTTCCCCCTCCAGGCGCCAAGCCTTCTTTATGCCTAATCCTTTCTGATGAAGAGGGGAGAGGGCTTCTCAGGGAGTCAGGGGACCTGTCATTAGCAGGATGTTGGAGGAACACCGAATTCCTCAAGTACACGGCAGTTTTCCTAAGAATTGCCATTTATTCTTCATGGAAAGGAACTTTTGCAGGAACTCAAGAGAGAAAGGAACGAACACAGAACGGCTTGCCTGGTGACCCAGGGATGCTCCATCGCACAAATCCAGGGGGTGCCACTCACAGCACATTCCCTGGGAGTTGCTGCTGCTAGGCTTGTGTGGTGCTGCTACCTGCTCTTGCCTTCCTATTTCTTCACCCAGTCCTGTTGTCATTCGGGACACAATGCTCTACATCTTTGGCAGATTTCAAGTTAGTCTCTTAGAATGTGAGAGCCATCAGGGGCCATTGAGTTTAGTGACATCTTTTCCTTCCCTTTGTAGATGAGGAGGCTGTGGCCCAAAGAGGTCATTTGTCCAAGCATCCTAGGCAGAGGCGGGACCCTGGAACTGGGGCTCTTGACTTCCTCTTCCGCTTTGCTGCCCCCTAAGTGCTAGCCAGCAAAATCAGCGATCTGGGGGACTCCTGGAAACGCAGCATGTCCTGCTCCAGCCTCAGACCTGCTGTCAAAAATGTAACCATACATTCTCAATAGGCCTACACACTCTGGTGATTATAGGAGAAATATTGTGTTTTTCAGGATGCTGGATCATAGGGTCTCCAAAGCATAGAGCCTATGGGGTTTTAGGACTTGAATTTGTCTTACCATAAAGCAGTGATTTAAAAAAATAATTGATGTCTGAGTTCTACTGTCAGAGATTCTTATCAGATTGGTGTGCAGAGTAGGACCCACTTGGGCATGGGATTTCAAAAAGCTTTCCAGGTGATTCAAAAGCACAAGCAAAGCTGAAATCTGTGCCCTAAGATATACCCAAATAGAGTAAGTAAATGTCATTATCAAAATGATGAAAGTTGAAGTTTCAGTAAGATGTAAAGAAATACATGGCTAAATACCAATTGTCATCAATCACTGCTTTCTAATGTTGGCTCCACCCAATCTGGGTGTGAGTAGGAATTTTTAACTTACCTTGAACTCTTTGTAAGACACTGGTAGTTTCAGATTTTCAAAAATTATACCAGATTTTTACCACCCTCTTTCTTTGACCACATGTTTTGATTTCCCTGAGGGAGAGAGAGAAAGAAAGAGGAAGAAAGATAGAGGGAGAGAGAAAAAGGAAGACAGATAAAAAGAGGGGTGGGAGGGAGAAAGACGCTGAGAAGGAGGGAGAGAGAAATGGAGTGGGGAGAGAAAGGAAGAGAGGGAAGGAGGGGGAAAGAAAGAAAGGGAGAGAGAGAGAGAGAGAGAGGGAAGGAGGAGAAAGAGAGAGAGACCAGTTGCCTGGGACTCTGAGTGTTGGGCAGCAATCATCAGCTTCACCCCTACCAGCTAAACAGGGTCTTGCCTTCTAACTAGAGGCAAAATCTGCCTTTTTGTCCACAGTGATGCCATAAGAAAAAGATCACCGTCACATAACTTGTCCCCTTTGCAGCAGCAAGAACCCACATTTCTTCCAGAGGGAAAAATTGATGATGAAAGAACTTTTATAGAGACTAGGCAGCAAGATTTTAAAATTGAGGGACTTAAAGTAGTTTTAACCATAGAGGCTATCTAGAACACAGTTTTATCAGGATTTCATGGATCATTATCAATTTTCTTTCTTTCCCTAACCAGATTAAACTGTGCATTTGAGAGAAGGGGGTGGGTACATTGGTTTATGACATGGCATTTAGACAGAAGAAAATAAACAGGCACAAATTCCCCTGGTTCTGGGTAATTCAAATTCAATTGGAATGGGAAGAAGTGGAAAAGAAATAAAAGAAGAACCAGAGGTCAGTTGAAAATACTGACTGCGCATTGTGTAAAACTTTGAGAGAACATGAAAGTAAGGGGTCCCTTTTCAATTGTCTCATCGACATGGAAATGCTCGTGTCGTGGTATTTTAATAACACCTCCGTTAACCGACATTGTCAGGCTGCACAAACAACGCATGCTATTCTGACATTTGGCACGGAAATTTTATTATTACGATTTGGATGATGTGCATTCTAAAATGGTCATTTCCCTGCTTTCTTAGGTGGAGCTTATTGGCTATAATTTAACTGAACGAGCCAGAGTTACCATTTATAACTATGCAATGGAACTGTGGCAGGAGGAAAGCAGCATCCTGATGGAGAAACCCGGGATCAGAAAGTGTTAACTCCAAAACAGAGGGGATCGTTCTTTTGGCGGGTATCAGACCAATAGACACAGTCAAGTTGGTTATAGCAAGGGGTGTTTATTACTTGGCACAAGTAAGAGCACACTAGGAAGAGTTCCCAAAGCAGTCTGTTCCAGAACAAGAAAGTTGGGGCTGGTTTTATAAGCATACGGTAATGAGGCATGATCTGATTGGATCTTACAATGAGGCCATGCAAGGAGGCATGATCTGATTGGGTCCTGCCATGGCAGAATGCCAGGGCTGGATGTGATTGGATCTGGAACCTGCCACAAGGTGTCCACCTTTCAATTCAGTCCCTACTCCTTGGTCCAAGCACTTAGGTTCCGCCCATAGTTGCAAGCTTGGTTCATCCAGGCATGCTCAGTTACATGACCTTCAAAGTGGAGGTTTATGGCAACTAAAGAACTCACAACTTTGTTACATAAAAGTTGAGCCATAGTGGTCGCATGCAGTTACAAAAGAAGCTACTCGAAGCACTGCCTGGTGGAAATGCATAATACAGAGCCCATCTCAGTTCAAGAAGTGGCGTTAGTGATAGCAGCTGTAGCAAGATGGAGGAGAGGCTCTTTAGCACAATCTTGCCGAGAAACAGAGCCCAAGAGTAAGCTTTCCTCACATGGGACAAGACAGTGTTGTGTCCTAAATAATAATAATTGTTGCCTTGGAGATAATGTGCTTGCTCATAGCTAATCTGCACAGCCACAGTTGTTGCTGGTGGAGAGGTTGAAGTCATGGAATTAGGATCCATTCAAATCTCCCACGTTGGAGTTGACAAACCTGTGCAGAGAAGGTTAACTTTTGACCAAAGCCTGAGCTCTGGAATTTTCCACTGGCAGGTGGGAAAGGATGGAGTTCCCAAAGGAGAGGGTGTGGGCTTCCTGAGTGTGGGAGCCGCAGAGGAACTGTTGGGAGCAGGAAGGGTGTGAAGAGGAGACAGAGAGGGCGCGAGAGCAAGAGCCTCAGAAGGTCTCAGGCCTGGAGGTTCCTCTCCTTAGCTGCAAAGGCCAAGGTTCTTGTCATCCTGCTGCTGCCCTCTGAGACAGCCACCTGGCCCTCTTGAGACAGGGAGGTATGAGATGGAGTTAAGGGTCAACCCCTTTGTTTTTAGAATAATATTAACCTCCTGAGCCAGCAGCCCTTATTCCTGAGCCTCTTATTTCCTATTCCTGAATCTTCTTGATTCTACCCTTAACATTTAAGGCTTTTCTTCTTTTATTGCATCTTCTGAACTTCTGTGCTAGATTTATATCAGTATCGGCCTGAAGCCTCTTACCAGGACTCAGGACTCTGCCCTAGCTTCTTCCCCATTTGTTCCACTCTGCCGATGCAGGCGCCTTCCTGACTGACAGCTCCTTGTTGCATTCTTTAGGCAGGTGACAAACAGCCCCACTGCCAGTGACTAACTTTCTAAGCCATGGCTGGAGTTAACTCCTTGGCTTCTGATACCAACGAGGTAATTTTATTTGGGAAAAAGTAAGATTTGGAGGAGAGAGATATAAATCCAACGAGATGTTAGTCCACAGCCTTCACGTGGCCCATGGGTTATTTAGATGTGTGTCTCCAGATATTTGGAGACTTTCCAGATTTGTTATTGGTTTCTAATTTAATTCCACTGTGGTCAGAGAACACACTCTGTATTATTTCCATATTTTTAAATTCATTGAGACTTATTTTATGGCTCAGGATATGGTCTATTTTGGCAAATGTTCCAAGTCCACTAGAAATGAATGTGTACTCTGATGTTTACTATAATATACTATAAATCTCAATTATGTAAAGCTGGTTGATATGTTGTTCAAATCTTTTATATACTTACTGAGTCTCTCGGCTTTTTTTTTATCAACTGTCAAGAGAGGGGGTGTTGAAGTTTCCAACTATAATTGTGGATTTGGCTACTTCTCCTTTGAGTTTTATTAGTTTTTGCTTCACGTATTTTGAAACTTTGTTATTAGGTGTAGAACCAGAATTATTATGTCCTCTTGATGAATTAACCACTTTATCACTAAGCAATGACCCTCTTTATCACTGGTAATATTTCTTGCTCTGAAATTTACTTTATCTGATATTAATATGGAAATTTTGTCTTTAATTAGTATTTGCAAATATCTATCTTCCATGCATTTACTTTTAACCTATTTGTGTCTTTGTATTTCAAGTGGGTTTCTTGTAGACAATACATACTGGGGGCTTGCTTTTTAAAATAAAAAAATCTAACCTGATAATCTCTGCCTTTTAATTAGTGCTTTAGACCATTTACAGTTAATATGACTATATGATTGGGTTTAAATCTATCTGGCTATCTGTTTTCTATTTGTGCTTTCTGTCATTTATTCCTTTTCTTTTCCTGACTTTCTTGGATTATGTGATCATTTTTAATATTATGTTTTCCCTCCTTAAGTGGCTTACTAGTTATATTTAACTTATTTTTCTAGTGGTTCCTCTAGGGCAGGCATCCTCAAACTATGGCCTGTGGGCCATATGCAGATGTTATTGCTTATTTTTTTTTTTTTACTTCAAAATAAGATATGTGTAGTGTGCATAGGAATTTGTTCATAGTTTTTTTTAAACTATAGTCCAGCCCTCCAACGGTCTGAGGGACAGTGAACTGGCCCCCTGTTTAAAAAGTTTGAGGACCCCTGCTCTAGGGTTTATAGTATATATCTTTAACTTATCACACTATACCTTCAAGTAATATTATATAACTGGATATATAGTACAAAAACCTTACAACGACATACTTCCATTTCTCCCCTCCTGGCCTTTGTGCTTTTGTCATACATTTAACTTCTACATGTTATAAACCCCACAATGCAATGTTATTGTTCTTGTTTTAAACAATCTTTTAAATATTTTAAGAGATTTAAGAAAAATAAGAAAAAGTCTTTTATATTTACTTACATATTTGCTGTTTCCAGTGCTCTTTATTTTACGTAGATCTAAATTTTCATCTAGTATTATTATCTTCTGCCAGAAGAACTTCCTTTAGCAATTTCTTGCAGTACTAGTCTTCTGACTATGAAGTTTGCCAGATTTTGTTTGTCTGAAAAAGTCACTTCACTTTTGAAAAATGTTTTTTTGTTTTATTTTGTTTTTTTGTTGGGTATAGAATTCCAGGTTAATCTTTTTTCTTTTTCTTTCAATTCTTTAAAGATGTCACTCCACTGTATGTATTTATTTATTTGAGACAGGGCCTTGTTCTGTTGCCCAGGCTGGAGTACAGTGGCACAACCATAGCTCACTACAGCCTTGAACTCCTGGGCTCAAGCAATCCTCTCACCTCAGCCTCCCAAGTAGCTGGGACTACAGGTGCATGCCACAACCCCCCCACCCCACACACACACACAAAAAAACTTGTAGATATGGTATCTCTGTCTCACTATGTTGACCAGGCTGGCCCTGAACTCCAGGCCTCAATGATCCTCTTGCCTCAGCCTCCCAAAGTGCTGGAATTGGATTGCATTGTTTCTAATGTAAAGTCTTCTGTCATTCTTATCTTTATTCCTTTGTATATAGTATCCACTACCCCCCTCATTCCGCCTCACTCACACACACACACAGCTAGTTTTAAGATTTTCTCTTCATCACTGGTTTTTAGCAATTTGATTATAACATGTCTTGGCATTATTTTCCTTGTTTTTCTTGTGCTTGGGATTCATTGAGCATCTTGGATCTCTGGGTTTATAATGGTTTTTTTTGTTTGTTTGTTTTTTTATCAAGTTTGGAAAATTCTCAGACATTATTCTTTTAAATATCTTTCTATATCCCCATCTCTTTCCCATTCTTCTTTGGTTCCAATAACACATTTTAGGCTGCTTGGTGATGTCCTGTAGATTATTGATGCTGTCTTTTTCCTGTGTTTCATTTTGAATATGTTCTATTGTTCTGTTTTCAGTTTCACTTGTCTTTTCTTATAAAGCATCTACTCTGCTGTTAATCCCATGTTGATATTGAGATTTTTAAAATCTCTAGAAGGTCTATTTTAGTCTTTTTAATTTCTTCCATTTCTCTTCTCATTGTGCTTATGCTTTATTCTATCTTCTTGAGCATATGGAGTTTATTATAGCAATTTTAATAACCTTGTCTACTAATTCTATCACCAGTGTAATTTCTGGGTCTGTTTCTATTGATTCTTCTGCTCGTTATGGGTCACATTTTCCTACTTCTTCGCATGCTTGGTAATTTTTGTTTTGATTCCATACACTGTCAATTTTCTATTGTTGGGTGCTGGAATTTTTATTCCTTTAAATGTTTTCATGTTTTGTTCTGGGATGCAGTTAGTTGAAAACAGTATGATCCTCCTGAGGCTTGTTTTTAAACTTTGCTGCATGGATGCACAATAGCCTTTTGTCTAGGGACTATTTTGGCCCCACTAGTAAGGCAATACTCTTTTGAACAGTCTCCTTGATGCCCCACATGTGTAAGAAGGTCTTTCCACTCTGACAGCTCTAGCTTAAAGTGAGCTTTGGGGATTTTTCTGCCTCCTTCTCCTCTCTCCAATGGTTCTTTCCTTCTCCTTGGTAGTTTTCTCACATACCAAAGACTCAAGGGAAACCAGCTTTGCAGCTCTGGTTCTCTCTGTTCAGCTCTCTTCTCCATGGTACTCTGCCCTGTTTATTCTTCACCTTGGCCGCCTCAAACTCTAGATTCTGTCTCCTCAATTTGGGGAGATCATCCAGCTCTTTTCAGTCCTCCCTCCCTGTGCTGTGGCCTGGAAACTCTGTCCAGGTGGTAAGATGAGGCAATTGTAGGGCTCACCTTACCTCCTTTCTTTCAGAGATCATTGTCTTGCACTATTTTCCCATATCTAAAAACTGTTGTTTCATACATTTTGTTTGTTTTGTTGTTGTTGCTGTTTAAGGCCAGAGGGTAAATATGGTCCTGTTACTTCATTGTGGCTGGAAGTGGATGTCCTATACATCCCTCACTGGAAATATGAAAAGTGAACTAAGCAAACTGCAGTAGAACTCTATGTATTTAGAAATTTAAAATGAAAAGGAACCACTGAGACCTACCTACGTTGCTGAATTTTTTAAAATTTCACTTAGACAAAAGATACAACAACAAAAAGAAAGGGATTTAAAACCCTAGAACTTCAAAGTTCATCTCTTTCCTTTTGTATATGAGGAAATGAAATCTTAGCGATGTTAAGGGCTTATCAAAGGTCATATTAGTATTGGGCATAGCTGAGATCAGAACCCAAGTATTTCAATAAACATGCCACTAAACCATGTTATTTCTATTATGCCCATAAACAATTACCATTTATCAAGTATTATTAAGTACAATTTGTCAATACTTTGTAAGCTTTATTCGAAACTTCCTGACAATCCTGGTAGATAGTGTCAGGGTAGGTACTGCCATTATTATCACCATTTAACAGATAAATAACCTGAAGCTCAGGGAGTTAAAATGATTTGTCTAAGATCCTTTAATGGGGTCTCCTGGGTTAAATAATGTTTTTATAATAATATTAAGATGTTATTTGTCTTTTTAACATGTTGACATTTGTAATAAAGGTGTAAAAGTAAACATAGAAAAAACCACTTGTACCTTAGCATGAACCACAGCAGTGGCACCAAACTGTATTCATAACTCTTGTGTTTTTCATCACCATGTGCTTGTAGTTTAAAAAACTCTATTTCACTTAATAATGTTCTTAATGAAACAGTATGGTAATTAATTCTATTAAATATTGACCCTTACATATGAAAAATTGGAAATATACCTAAAGAACTTCTGCTATGTCAAGGAAATTTCCTTGAGTGCCTGAATTGGGAGCCAACCTGACACTTTTCTTGTGGAACATCATTTTTACTTGAAATAACAACTGATAAACTATGGTTAACTTATGTGGTTACATGGTAAACATTTTCTCAAAAATAAAAAAATAATGAAACTATCACTTCAAAGAAAACCACTGACAAATTGTTGTCAAAGATGAGCTTTTAGAAAAAAATGGAATTTTGTAAAACATGTATCTTCTTCTGTGAGCCTGACAGCTTCCCAATACTTCAAGACTTTCCTGCTAAGATTGGTGGACATAACAACAAATATGATTTTGTAGTATTATACAATAAAATGCATCAATGTTTATCAGCTTAATCAGCTTAATTCAGTGAACTAATATTTTCAAAATGACCAATGCCCAATGCCACAAAATAATGCATTGGTAAAAAATCCATTCAAAGCACAAGATAAACCAATGGATTTTTAACTTAACAGGGTATGAAAAAATGTTCACCAATATGGTTTCAGATTCCAAACTGCAACTGACTTTTAAGAAACTACCATCTGTCAAGATACAGTATCAAAGAACATCCAGAAATTACCTGAAAAGGCTATAAAAATACTTCTCTGTATTCCAACTGCGTATCTATGTGAGATCAAATTTTCTTCATACACATCAACCAAAAGACATATGGCAAGAGACTGGATGCAGAAACTGAGAGGAGAATCCAGCTGTCTCCCATTAGGCCAGAGAATAAAGAGATTTTGCAAAAGCATAAAATAATGTCACTCTTCTCACTACAATTTGTTTGAAAATAGCCTTTTTCCCCAACAATGTTACTTTTGTTAACATGTAATGAGTTTGTTATTGTTACTTCTACATGAATTTGTAAATAATTTTTTTCTCAGTTTTAATTTTGAATACAGTAAATATAAATATTTATAACCCACATAAACAAAAGCTCCTTAGGGTCCTTTAAGAGTGAAGGGTCCTAAGATCAAATGTTTGAGGAGCGCTGGTCTTAGCACACCTGAGAGGCAGTAAAGCCACGCCTGTGTCCATCTGGCTCCCAAACCCATGTTGTTGCCCCTTTACCCAAAAGTCTCCCATTAAAATGGGAAATAGGATTGGGTCCCTCATAAAGCTTTGTTTTACAATTTTTTCCCTATAGTATTAAAGTTTTTCGACGTGTGGATATTTTTCTTTGGTGAAGCACAAGTTTCTTGTCCTAAGGCTAAAGGGATTCAAGATGACTCTTTATAGGCTAATAAAATAAACTTATGCCAGAAGCAATAATATCTTGAGTTTTGTATTATATATAAAGCTCAAATAGTTGGGAGATGTTCTTTATTAAATTTCACGAAACAGGACTTAATTCTGATCCTTTGGCTCTGGGCTTATTGTTCACCCCTTGGCACTAAGCCCCAAGGCGTGAAGCTACGCTCTGGGGGAGCCCACCTTGCCGGGGGACATCCGCAGGAGGAACTCCTGCATGCCTCTCCTCAGCAGCGCATTCTCCGCAACCTCCCTCAGGCTTCTGTGCAGCTTTTCCATCTCCTTGTACTCGCTCTTGACGTCTACGGAAGAGCAGAAGGGGTACGTCAGGACCTGGTGCCCTTTTCAGCAATGTCTCTGGAAAACGAATACCCCAAGAATTCTGTCACTTCTCTCAGAACATAAGACCTGGAGTGGCACTTGGAGATCAGATAGTGCAGTTTCCTTGCTTCATAATCTGAATCAAACCAGGTGTTCTTTCCCTTACCTGAATGCTGTTCAGAGCTAGGGCTCCAAGTCTCTTTGTCTTGCTCCTACAGCCAGAAGCCTCCCTCCTCCAAGCTGCAGCTTCAATCCTGCCCAGCCAGACCCTCCCAGCACCTGGCTTCCATGAAGCTTCCCCAGTGTCCCAGCCCTGAATAACCACTCTGTCTTCTAAACATCAAGAGTAACCATCTGATGCCTGAGTGGCGTAAGTGTCACATTCCCAGTGAGACCTTCCTTGATCACCTGTCCTCTTCCCCAGCATGCCCTCTCCCCTTCCCCTGCTCTATTTCCCTCCCACACATTTTACTAATTAGTTTGCTCAATGCCTGCCTCCCACCCACTGGGCCCATAAGCTTCTTGAGGGCAGGAGTTCTCATCCGTACTGGTCACTGCTGTGTCCCTGGCACCTAGAACACTGCCTGGCACCTAGGAGGTGAGCAGCTTCACTGGTTGAGAATGCATGCTCTCCAGTCTTGCGATTTACATTCTTGCACATCTTGTCTTGCCAACATCTTATTCCAGGTATGACCCTGAGAACAGGGGCTGCTCTTTAGATCCCCCTATAGCCTTGGCACCTGGCACAGTACTCTCCATGTAATGTATATTTGTTGTTGATGGTGAAGAAAAGAAATAGGCTTTAATTATAGCAGGTGCAATGTACATCAAACTTAGGGGGAAATTTTCTGTGTGACCTGGATGGGTGAAAAGACCTTCGGCAAGTAGGAGTTCTTTAAAGAAGACACAATCATACAACTATAACCTTAAAACTTAGGTTCCTGTGAAGGCCATGGAAGAGCCCAATACATTAGAACAGAGGTCCTCAAACTTTTTAAACAGGGGGCCAGTACACTGTCCCTCAGACCGTTGGAGGCCGGTTGGAGAGTGCGGCGCACATTCCACACATGCGCACTGTGGGCCCGGGGACAAATCGGCTGCTAAGCAGGACAGGCAGCGGAGGCAAAAACACCTGGTGGGCTGGATAATTGTGGCCCACGGGCCATAGTTTGAGGACACCTGACTTAGAGTGTGAGGGTGCTCAACCTCCTTCTCTTAGAGAGCATAACAAGTCCCTCTACACAGCCAGAATCGGGGCATCACGATTCCCAGAGACAGACAAGTGCAGACACATTTAGAAGCGGCAATTGTGGCTTTTACTTTGCAAATAGCTCTGACCACTCTCACCCTGGCAAACTTGGCAACAGCATCCCATCTAGTATTCCTTTTTGTCTAGCAGGCAACTGTGCACATGGTTTAAAGTTTAAAAGGCCCTCCCCTGCCCTCCAGCCTCCCAGTTCCCCTCCTTAGAGAGAACCAGTGTTACCAGTTCCTTGCATATCCCAAAGAGATTTTAATGCATAAACATATACATATGTATTTCCTTTTTCCTCTTACAAATGGAAATATATCACACACAGTTTTTTCACATTGCTTTTTTTTTCACTTTACAATATATTTTGGAGATTGTTTCATACTACTACCTATAAAGTTGCTTTATTCTTTCTAACAATTGCACGGGCCTCCACTAATTGTATATCTAATTTAATTTAACCTGTGTTCTACTTATATAATAGATATTTGAGTTGTTTCCATTTTTGATATTGTAAACAATGCTACCCTAAGTAAACTTGTCTGTATGCCCTTCTCCCCATGTATAAGGTTATCTACAGGGTAAATTCCTGGAAGTAGGATGGCTGGACCAAAGATATGTGCATTTTTAATTTGGCTAGAAATTGCCCAATTGCTTTCTGCACCAGTTTACACTCTCCAGTTTATAGCAGGGTAGAGCCCATGGCATGAAAGGGAGGTGGCTGCCTGCAACGGGGCACACACAGCTGGTGTCGCATTCCCAGGCTCCTGGTGGATTAAGAGGAATCTTCCTCCAGCACCAGACAATGAGGATTTTCATAAGGAGGTATCAGCTTAAAAGAAAGGTGTTACGGAGACAGTAGGGCACAGTTGTGGGTTTACATTTGCCACTGTGCAGCTACAGGACCTTGGGCACATTACCTACCTAATCTGAATCTGTTTCTACATCTGCAACAACATCTGTCTCTGAGAGCTAACATGAGAATTCTGTGACAGAATGTGCACAAAGCCGGAGCATGATGCTCAGTCTCAGTCGGGAGAGCTCAGCAAAGAGGGTGGGCCGGTCGTCATCATCATCATCGCATTCCCTGCCCTGGACATTCTTCCTAACTTAATTCCTTGAAATTCAGTAAGGAGCAAACACAGCCAGGCATGTCTGCACAATCACCCTTTACACACAGGTTTTATGTATTTACCTGCGAGCTCCTTGTAGAGACCATCCCCCTGGGACGAAGCAAGTGTCAGCATGGTGGCGATACTGCCCATCACCCTCTCCGTGATCCCAGTCTACACGACAAGGACAATCAATCTGTTAGGATGGCGCAACCCAAAAGTGACTCTTGCGAGAGCGACCCCACCCAACCCCCTGCCTCAGCATCTCCTTTCCTGCCTATCGAGACTCACAGGGGGAGGAGGTACCTCCGGTGCTGACTGATGGAATCGGGAACTAACGAGGAAGCCAGGAGGCATGAGGAGAGGACGGCTACAGCAGAGATGGAGAAATAGGGAAGAGCTGGTAACTACCCAGTAATCTCTCTCGCATTTAGTCACTGGATCAATGTGTACTGGGCCCCGCCTGGTACAGCACATCTTACTTGACATGTTTGATTCTTCCCGACTGTCCTTATTATCAATGCAAACCATTTTCTTCCCTCTTCTGTCTCTTGCCTTCCTTCAAAAACATCAGTCTCCTTCCTCTAAGCCTAGCAGAGGGTAGGTTTGAATTTGGATCTCCTGACTTCAAATCTCATGCTTTTTCTGCTACATGCTAGACCAAGAACCATAAGCTAGAAGCTCGGCTGTAGCTGTGAGCCTGGGGCTAGTAACTAAACTCTCCAGCTCCTGCGAGTCTGGGGCTAGTAACTAAACTCTCCAACTCTCTGCGAGCTCCTTGTCTTTAAGGTCAGGGGATGGGAGATCCACAGCTCCTAAAAACAGAAATAGTCACCTCACACTAGAGTGAAAACAAATCAGGAAGCCACATTACTCATCAATTTATCAGAGACTAATCAGTATATTCAACAAAGCATTATTCCCCTCTTTAATTTATAAGAACATTATGAAGAGGTAATTTTTTTAAAAATCAGTAAATCTTCAAACGTTATATATAAAAAGAAATTCCATCCGTTATATAGAACTAAAATATTTTAAAAATTAAAAGTTTGAGTGAGATGTGCAACATTTGGGGGATGGTCATGCTTGAGGCTCTGTTTCGAGGGGGGAGAGGGGGCATGGGCAATATACGTACCCTAACACTTATATCCACATAATATGCTAAAATAATATAAATAAATACATATATAAAAGTTAACTGTTATTCTAAAAAAAAAAAGATCAGGGAATAAGAACGCTCCATGCGCTCAGTTTTAACTTCCCATGTTTCTGTCATTTAAGATATATTTGTACATGGTCAATACACTAATCATTTTTTTTTAGTGGAATTATTTTCTTGGGCACCTTAAGATCCAATTTCTGTGGACTCAATGGGGACACGGAGATTGGCTCTGTAGAGTTTGGCCAATTTCCTGCCAACGTATTTGTAGACTGTGATAATACATCAAGCAACTGAAACTAAACTGCTGCTGGTGGGATACTGCTCAGCCTATTCCGAGGGAAATGACATGCTCTGCATTGTGGAGAAGGTATTTTCCAAAACTGCAGTGGCCAGGGGAGGGCAGGAGACTGGGCAGGAGGCTGGAGATATTCCGAGGCGGCTGCTCCACAGGTGGGCAGAGAAAGCAGCCCCATGGTTGTGGGGGGCCAGTCAGCCTGGACTGAGGCAGAAGACTCTGGAGCCTCACATGGCTAGGGAGGGGGGACAATAGTGGCCTAGACTAAGACAAAGGATTTCTACTGCCTGGGGGAGGAAGAGCATCAAGCTGAGAGACTGGTCTGATGCAGAATGGTCCAAGTATACTTCACAGAACCCATCCACGTCTGAAGAAACTATTAGGAACCATTTTCCTGGGTAGATGGCATCAAGGCTAAATGTGTGCTAACAACCATGACTGACCGACCTACTAGTGCACTGACATTTGCTTATTGACATTTTATGTAGACAAGACACTTCTGTCTTTTAAAATATCTGCCTGGAGACCGTGCTATTTATCGTTGGAAATGTCGGAGCTGCCACCGGGCCCCACATCCTGGTCTGCATCTTGCTAGCTGTGAGGCCTGTTGATACTCCTCTCATGCCACAGTTTTCTTCTCCATAAAATGAGAACAATGACAGTACCTACCTCGCAGATTAGCTGGGGATTAAATGAGCTAATGTCTGTACAGCACTGAGCATCCGTCCAGATAGAAAGGGGAAAGGCAGGGAGAGCTAGAAGGGCTGCACTGCTGAAGTCAGGGCCACAGGGGAGCGGGCACCAGCGCGGTGGGACGCAGCAGCAGCAGCAGCAGCAGCAGCGAGGACAGAACGCAGAATGTGGAGTGCCAGTGGCCCCTCCCCCAGCACTGGCTGGGCCCAGTGTGCAGAAGGCATTGGTTTCGTGGGGACCCGAATGCCAACTGTTTCTCCCACCTTCTGCACCCTCCTCCTCTACTCCCCCAGAGGCTCCCGGGACTGGAGTTGAGGCTGAGGCTGTGGAATACCTTCAGCTGCTGAAACTGGTGCTGCATCCTTTCTTGAGCCCTTTCGAACATGCCCTCGGCCACCTGCTGGTCCACCCCTCTTCGGATGACATCTTTCATTCTCTCACATGCTTTTTTGCCAGTGATCTGAGCTGCTTCTGGCAAAAATGATAGCCACAAGGACTTGCTTAGAAATCTTTGGAATCAGAAAGAAAAACAAGCAAGCAAGCAAACAAAAATATATTTATAGACATATGTGTGTATATGTGTATATATATGCATATATATATACACACTTCTATAAAAAATATTTTCAATATTTAGATACCGAATAGCATTCAGAAAACCTCATGAGTGAATTAAGCAGAAGCTTACAAAGTCACTTCCCTGCTGCCTGCAAACAATGGAGCTGTTGAAACAAGGAGGAGCCTAAATGCCAGTTCACAGATAATTGGAGAAAATAAAAATGAGAACTGGATACGGATTTTATAGTTAAATCTGCTGAGACACAGCATGGAAAGGAGAAGCAGGGTGTGTAGACAAAGAGTGGACAGAAAGAACTGGAAAACACGCAGATAAGAAGGGGTCCTCCTTAATCACCTCTCCCCACCCCTGGCAACCATGGTGGCTTCAATCTGTAGACAGAGGGTGTTACGAGGACTTAGGAGCCAGGAGGACAAATACTACGAGGGGAGCAGCAGGAAAGGAGGCCACAGGTGCTGGCAGACAGACCGAGAGCAAGGGCAGCTGCTGACCCTGGAGCCCTCACCTTCGTAACAGGGCTTCAGGTCGTTCTGGACAGAGGTGGCGAGGGACTCATAGATCCTCCTCTTCTTCCTGAGGATGTGGCCCTCCAGGCTTCCCAAGATGGTGCTTATCTGAGAAGCCACATTAACAGAGGCCATTTGTGACAATTCCCTCAACAAAAGCAGGTCAAGCGTCCTGCTGCCCGGTCCCCATTCCCTCTGCCCTGCTGTGGGTTGGCTGTTGAGACGTCTCCACGACTATGCTGTGAGCTCCTCAAGGGGCAGGAACTTTCTCCTAAGCATCTTCACACCCCAAGGTGCTTCCCACAGAGCCCAGCACCCAAACTACTCCATAAATATTTGCTGAGTTGAACCTGGGCACAGGCAAGGTCCTGGAATGGGCCCTCTTTGGGACGCAAGGGGAGGTACAGGCTATTTCTCTAGGATTGCCATGTAATTTGGGCTGGCTCTGGAAGAAAATGAGTCACAGACCAGAGTCTTGAGGCCTCAACACTAAAAAATTACTGACTTCCATAAATGTCACTGCCTCGGATGCTACTTCGTAATATTGGCAAAAATGATAGCAAGGTTAGTGAAAGTGTTACAAGTTGATGCAAGTTTTCATACATCTAAGGAAGAATCTTTGAAGATTCTTCCCAAGCACCAAGTTGGCTTTACAATCGCAGCACGCACGACCAGTTGCTTCACAGTGGAACAGTGTCTCTCACCTCCGTGGTGACCTTAGGGCCACTGCCCTTCCCCCTGGTCCCAGCAGGTTCTATATTGCACAGCACCTCCTGCAAGGTGTCCAGACCCCGGGCACTCTGGGAGAGCAAGCAGGGAGAGACAGGCCACCCCAAAACCCACCTTGGAAGAAAACCACACCCAGCCTCACTGCCCCCGTCACTTTTTAAGGAACTTACCTCCTGGATCAGGAAATGCTTTTTATAACTATCATATTTCCAGCCATTTTTTATCCCAATTTCTGTCATTTTCTCCTGCAGGGAGTGCTTAAAAGCATCTATGTGAGGCATCAGAGCTGAATCAGTGGGCCTCCCAGTTCTACAGAAGAAAGCAACCAAAAGGTTAGAGACAATGGAGGCTGAAACAAACATGAAACTAGCTGGTTCCTTATATTTATTTAAGAGAAATGGGACAAGATCTAGCAGTTATCAAATTGCTACAATGTGCCAGGCACTGTGCTGTGCCAGGCCTGGGACATGAGGACCTGTGAAGTCAGCATGATGATGCTCATTTTACAGGTGAGAAAATCGAAGTTCAGAGATGTGTCCAATGGCACACAGCTAATAAGGGGCAGAGCCAGGCTTTGGGCACAGCTTTAGCCTCAGAACTCATAGTCTTTCCACTATGGAGTTTCCACTTGAAAGGGTGGGACTTGAACTATACCTTAAAAGTTGAGTAAGATCTGGGAAAGTAGAAAGAAGGAGGAATTATTCCCCATGGGACACAGTGAACACAGTTGTTTCAGAATATCCTGGGAGCAAGAAGTGCCAGGTCATAGAGAAGAGAGCACAGGCTTTAAATCCTAGCTCTCTACTCGTGAGCTGGGTGACATTGGGAAACCTGCACAGTTCTTTTGAATCTCAGTTTGTTCAGATGTAAAAAGACAGAAGCCACTTCACAGGGTCAGTGGGAACACTTGATGAGATACTACATGCCAGGTACCGTGTTTCCCCAAAAATAAGACCTACCCATAAAATAAGCCCTAGCAGGATTTCCAAGCATTTGCGCAATATAAGTCCTACCCCAAAAATAAGACCTAGTGATGGGCGTGGCTGCGCAGCGCATCTGCACAACCCATGCATTCCATTGTGGAGCGGTAAAGACGACGAGCAGCCCTTCTCATCCGCCCCATGAGAGCTCTATTGCTCCACATGAGAGATTGGGGCCAATGGTTCTAAAGGAAATAGAGTCGCAAGAAATTCAGGATGGAATTCGGGGTTTGGAGAGTTATGATGATGTTCCAGAAGACGACAACTTAACTATATTTGAATAAATGTAGATTGTTGTACTGTACTTTAAAAAAATAACATATCCCCTGAAAATAAGCCCTAGGATGTCTTCTTGAGGAAAAATAAATATAAGACCCTGTCTTATTTTCGGGGAAACAAGTTACTTAGCATGGCACCCAGGACATCGCAGTTGCTCTTTGCTACCTGCTGGGCTGGCTACAGCAGAGGGCTGATCATGGGCCACAGCACAGGCAAAGGCTGGAAAGGGAGTTGGAGGCAGGTGGAATGTCTTAAATGCCACTGGAAGGAATTTGGAGTTTATCCCACAAACTTGTAAACAGGGTGGGGTGGGTGTCAGTGGAATGGCATGATCCCAGACATGTTTAAAGAAAGGTGAGGGCTGAGTAAGGTATAAGCAAAGGTGGGAGAATGGTTCAAGCAGCAACAGGTGAGCAAGCAGGTGAGATAATGGCGGGGAAGGAGAAGGTAGACTGGGGACAGGCAGCTGCACTTGTGGAGTAGGAGTCTCTGTTTCTGTTGATGGAGGAAAGAACTAAAGGTCAGGGAAGGAGGGGGCACACATCCCCCCAACCCACACCAGACCCAGAGTCCTCCGCACACTCAGGGAGCATTCTCAAGGTCATGTATTTGCTTAATTCCTCTCTCTCCAATCAAAATACCCTGTCCTGGGCCCAAATCCACAGGAAAATTTATCCCCCTCTGCATGTATGAAATATTTGAAAAATAACGAGGATCATAATATTAGTCTAAAAGCAACATCACAATCTGTACTCCAGGTCACCATGAGAAATTTTTAAGTCAACCAAACCAAGAAGGCTTTTGTGTTTTGCCAAAGACTACGCTTTCCTCCTCAAGTTACAAGCTACTCTTTACACTTCCAGATCCAAAGCATGAATTCTTAAAGACAAGACTGTGGCCTAACATTCTTTGGACATTTGTTCAGGAAGGGACAAGATGAAAGATCCTTTACCTAAAAATGCCTCCAAACACAGGGTCGATCTGGTCATAGATGGGCTGAGTGATGGCTTCATTCAGATCGATTCTTGCCAGAGTCCTGGAGGCATAGATGCCATTTTTCAGGCAAACAGCTTTCAGAGTCTGGTGAAAACCTTGGTTTCCTTTACTCCTCTGGATAATCAAACAATAAATTAGTAGAGTTAACTAGAAGGTCACAGGATCAGAACTGCATCGCTTTGGCCAAAGACTGAGGCCAAGAACCACAGGAAAGAGTAGAGACAACACGATCTTTAAACACACACTACTAAGCTAAACAAGAAAGGGCAGCGGTCACGCCTCCAGGTTGGCTGGGTGCCCCACAATTTGCATGCCAAGTGAGAGGTTACAAGATGTTTTCTTACTGTGTAATCTAAATGATACTGCTATCGAGGCAGCAAGATAGGTAGGGGCAAGCATTTAGCATCCCCATTTTATAGAAGAACACCAAGAGGTCTTTAAATGAGTTTAGGGCCTTGCCCAGGACTACAAAATGGATGTTTGGTGGGGCCAGCATTCAGATCAAGACCCTCAGATCCCAGATTCCGACTCTGTCTCTGCTGAACCGCGTGCCTTCCTTGGTACTACGGATGCAAAGTTAATTCCTTACATGCAATCCTCACTCTCTCCTACTCTCCACTAGCTCTTTATTTCCTTTGAAAGCAGTGGGATTGTGAAAAGGGAGCTTGGCAATTAGGCAGACCTCACTGGCCACCTGTGTTTTCCCTGCAAGGGTCACTCACCACCAGGCATGCCCCAAGGATGCGTCGGTAGGAAGCCCTGGCGGTCCGGACCCCCTCTTGCAGAGGCCGCTCCATGTGGGCGAAGCACTGTGTGATGGCCTTCTCCAGCAGCTCGACCTTCTCTTCCACAAACCTCCGCAGCCCACTCATGTGCAAGTGCTCACTCTAGGGACAAGGAGCAAAAGGAGCATCAGGCCGCCTGCTCCCCTAAAGGCTTTCTTTAAGCCTGTCACCAACCCACAATTGAGCTTATCTCCCCAAGTCAAATTCTCTTTATTGTCCCAATAAGGCCTCCCTCAGTGCACAGAGTCCCCTGGGCTTTGTGGGTCTGGAGAATAGAAAAACATCTGCCTGCTGCACTTGTTTCAGATGTATCAGGCTATTTGGAGAAGTAACGATCCACGTAAAAATCCAACTGTTATTAAAACAGCGTTTTCCAATGACATCCAATTCTACAAACATCTAATGAGCTTTGACTTTACACAGAGCAGTCTTTGAGGATAGTGTCTTTCAATATTCTTAAAATCTGAGGGCCTGGGATTCTACACTTCCAGCCAGTCCCCAGGTAATGCTGATTTCAGGGGCCCTGGACCACACTTGGAATAGCAAAGCTACGGGAGCCCAGAAATGAAGCCATGGTCCCTTTGTCAAAGAATATAGTCTAGTCAGGAAGAAAAACATATATCTAAATAACACAAGGAAGTGACCAACAGGGACAGCCTTGACCTCTAGGCTCCAAACTGGGAACCTATAGTGGTGTTCCCTGCATGGGAACATGGCAGAGCCTGCAGTGCCTACAGCAGGTGGAAGCCACACTCCTAACTTGGCATGTAAGGGCCTTTATAGCTGGGACTCAACCAACCTCTCCAGCACCACTGTCTCTCTGTTTGCCTGACAGCCTCCCAAATAGCTGCCCCAAACTTGCTACCATTCCTCAAACATGCCATTCCTTTAGAGAACCTCATGCCTTTGCACATGCTGTTCCAATCTCGTGTCTTTTAAGGAAAGCTCAAAAACCACCTCCCAGGAGATGCTTTCCCTGACTCCCCGGGCAAAGGTAGGACTCTGTTTCCTGTGCTCCCACTGAGTTTTATACATTCCTGCAAACAGCATTCCTCCTACTGTGTGATGTCTCTCTCGTTCCATGTCTCCTTCCCTGGACTACGAACTTGCTGCAGGGACAGACTGTTATTCGTGTTTGTTTATTCCAAGGCATGGCACAGAGAGCAAAATCCATAAGCGTTCATGAATTGAACAAGTGGCACAGAGGAACTTCCAGATAATAATAAAGATAATAATAAAGGCTTTTAAATTCTTTCCCAAATAGACAGAAATAGTTCTCAAATTGATGTATGACCTTATATAGCTGACTTTTAACTTCTCTGGTTCTCAACTGCATCATCTTTATAGTAAGTGAATTGGGTTGAATGATCTTGAAAACATCCTCAGATAAAACTGTGAATCTCAGCGTTGATGAGTTTTAGAGTTTGTGGGCACCATATCGTATTAGGCCCATCCTAAGGATTTTCCTAGTTTTCACCATTAACAATTCTTATAAGCCATAACTTGTTCCCCCCAGAGTGCCCTTTAGATCCTTTTGAATTTGTGGTATCCCTGGTGATCAAAATGGAATAAGAAAAAAGTCATGGGAAATAAATCTACAGGCAAGATCCTCACAATGTCTCAATCTCAATAAATCCCTATTGATCCAACAAAAGAATATGAAAGGAAAGAATTCATTGAAATGTCACCATCATCTTCCTATTGATTCTTAAAATTAATGACTGTTCATTTAAAATTACTAACTACCTAAACTCTAAGTTTTTGGTTTGAGTCATAATCTTAAAAGATATGATCAATCATGCACGTATTTAGGTTTGATTTTTCAGAATTCAAAGGAACTGACAAAACTCTTGCCTTCCAACTTTCCACTGAAAGAACTAAGAATAAGACCAATATCTGAGGCCAAGGAATTTGAGGAAAGCTGCTGGCGACACCCTCAGATGGCTGTCATAGAAGTGCCACTCGGCCCCCTTCCTGCTCTGTGTTTTCCACGGCCTGGAGTCTGGCTGGAAGGGTGGGACTGAGCCCCTTTGAGGGCTTACACATCTCTTTCAGCAAAGAGGAGCACGTGGAGAGGGCATTTCTGGGCTTAACTGCAAAATGCCTTGCCCTTATATTGTAAAACACTCCAACCACACAGAGCACCACATCTGATTCATTTTCCGTCGATACTTCCAAAAGCAATCTTGTGCTGGGCAGAGAGACAAATTTCACCCTGAAGGACTTTTTTGGGGAAGTTGGAAGGTCAAACTCTTCCCCGACTATTTCAGGGGACAAAGACCAAATTAGAAAATCTCAGATTCCAGGAGCTTTGTTTTGTTTTTGTCTCATACAACTAGATCAAAAACAAGCCATAAGAAACACGATGAAAAAGACAGTGAAGTTTGTTCTGTGTGCCCCTTTTATACAGAGTTTTCAATTGCTGGCGTTTGGCCACAACCAGAGACCCCTCTCTAGCTGGCATTGCTAACTGGAGTGCCTGCCTGTCCCTGCCACCCCACAGGTTCGTGCCAGGCCTGCTTTCCCCGTTCTCAGGACCAGCTCCTGGCCCTCTCACAAAGCCCTGCTAGTGCATGTCCTCTGCCCCTTCCCTGTTCCAGCCTAACAAGAAGTCAAACAACTTGATTGTGAAATTCTGATGGGTAAAGGCAGTGTGGAAATAAGTGAAGACCACCCAAATAAGAAAAGCAAAGGCTCTTTATTCAGAGCTTGCTGAGCAAGAGTTGGCCGCCTTCACTTGAGATTTGGCAGAGACTCAAAAGCAGGCAAAGGAGTGGGAAAATGTTATAGTGGACAAAAGGAAAGGCTTCAGGTGTGCCCTGGTTGGAGGCTGTTGGCCTGGGGAAGCTGCAGGCTGGCTAAATAAAAGCAGGGCAGCCTGTGTGGCCGGTTAGGGGTCCACATTTGGCTTTCTGCGGTTGATGGTAAATACATTGGAGGCAGCGACCAAGATTAGGGCAGTTATTCATCAAGCCCTGGCCATTTGGGGCCGACTGTTATAGAAGTTACTGTTTAGTTTCCTGGATTGTTACTAGAGACAGCAATCTGACTTCCTGCGAGTTGGACGGGCTTTCTGGGCTGTTTATTACAGATAAGGGGTTTCTGGGCAGGCTGCTGCAGGTTGTGGGTCAGCGTTCTATTTTTATATATGGTCAGGCCCTTGTCCAGATGTTTGTATCTTCTGCCTCTCACAAGGAAACAATGCAGCTGGTGACTGATGACAGCGACAGGTTTTTCTCCAAAATCTTCCCTCGAATCCAGCAGCTTATCCCTCTTATTTTAGGGTAAAAATAGATCATCAAAGAGATAAATTTGTCCATTACTATGAAAAAAGTTATTTTTAAACTGGTCATTCGGAAGGCTCGCATTCTAGACAGCGAAGATAAATATCTAACTCTGCTGGAATTCCCTCCCAGTTTCCTTCCTTCCACATTATTTTACTACACTGCTCTGAGTTTGAGATTCCGACAGCACCAGAGCATGAAGGAAATCCAGAGACAGACCAAACGCTTTTTGCATAAACACACCTCTCCAGGATGGTGTACGAGTGTCTGCATTCCACTGGAAGTAAACCAAATCACTGCTGCCATTGTGAAAACACGCTACACCTTGTTCAAGTCTCAGAAGACACAGAAAATAGCTACTACTTTTACATTTTCCCCTCTGCCCATCTGTCTCAGGTAAAATATTATTCCTTTCTCTTTTACTCAAATGTTATGATTTTAACCCTCTAGTTATCCTTTTGGCCTCTTAGACTCTCTGAGTTTCATATCTTTCTTTGATATGAAAATTAAAAACAGAAGTTACTTTTTTTTTTTTGAGACAGAGTCTTACACTGCTGCCCCGGCTAGAATGAGTGTTGTGGCGTCAGCCTAGCTCACAGCAACCTCAAACTCCTGGGCTCAAGCAATCCTGTTGCCTCAGCCTCCCGAGTAGCTGGGACTACAGGCATGCGCCACCATGCCCGGCTAATTTTTCTATATATATTAGTTGGCCAATTAATTTCTATTTATAGTAGAGACGGGGTCTCGCTCTTGCTCAGGCTGGTTTCAAACCCCTAACCTTGAGCAATCCACCCGCTTCGGCCTCCCATAGTGCTAGGATTATAGGCGTGAGCCACCACGCCAGCCAAAAGTTACTTTTCTAACTTAGTAAAAGGAAAGGCTCTGCCCAGGCCAGGAGGAGCTATCTCAGCCCGTTGTCTTCCGTACCGCAAGGTTCTGCGCCGAGTTGAAGCTGTCTGTGAGGAGCAACAGGCCAAAGGCTTCCGTCACGTACTTGGTCATCATCCTCTTCTTCTCGTCCAGGAGCCTTTTCCTGATGTATTCTCTTAACCTGGGGATTTCTGGAATTCACAGGTAGCACAAACAATTTTAAAAGGCCGAAGTTTGTAGTCAACAGAATTCATAAAAGTTTAAAGATACAAATGGTGATTCAAATGACCTAGAGTTGAAGTCCCATGTGGGACCTCAACTGCCCACTAGGCTGCCCACTAAACCAGCCTTCCTGAAAAACACTTTCCCATGCATAGGATCAATTAGAATGAATGGTAGATCAGCAATGCTGAATACTAATTTAATTTAGCTCTAAAAAAAAAAAAAAACACATAGAAAAGTACAGACTGGTTGAAAAATGGGCACTTTCCTTTGGATTGGTCCTCACCTGCAGATTGAACCCAAGGTGCTCACACTTCCAAAGTCTCTGCTCTTTGGTCTCCCTAGATTTTTATGTCAACTAACCTCTAACATCAGAATAGTCCACACTTGCTGTACATGCCTTCATCCTAGCCCTTTGTCAGTCAGAAGATAATAGATGCCACCCCACCTATTTCCCCATCCTTCCTGTACAGGGTAAATAATTTTTATCTATTATTCCTTCCACACACCATGCTAATTTTGTATTTTATACCCTTGCCCAAGCAGTCCCCACATTTCTGAAAACACCTCACACATTCTGCTCCTCAACCTCCATTCACATACACATACATCTAGCCACACGTGTGCACGCTATAAGCTGAGCTCAAATGCAAGCCCAGCCCTGGGCCTGCCTGCCCACCTGGTCTCCACTGAGTGCTCTGGTCCACACAGAGCTCCAGCTTCCCTGGCCTTCTGTCGTGCTCACAGTCAGCACCATCCACCTAAGGCTTGTTTTCATTTTAATTTTTGCACTTTGGCTAATATATTAGCTCTTCATCTAGATTTTAAGTTCTATAAAGAAAGAGACTATGCCTCCTACTTTCCCTGCCTCACAGACGAAGCATACATCAGACACCCAGAAAATAATTCTGATACTCATAGCTGGGGATAGGGGGACTCTCACGCCAAATACTAAGGAAATGAAACCCTGCTCACTTGACTTTTACCAACCCATGGTAACATTTGGAGGAGAGAGGAATTGTGGTCTCAGGTACCACAACAATGTAGAGAGAAAAAATATATTTGCAATATGTATAGACGCTGGCAAGCAAGAAAATTTTTTTATGTGGCACAAAAAGTTCTAGAGCAGGAAATTTGAAGTGCCAAGCTTAATCTTGAGAATTTTAGCAATTGAGATTAAAAAACATAAATTACCAGTTTCCTCCTCCGTGAGGAGCGCCTGCTGCCAGTACTCCTGGGCGCTGACTGTGTACACTAGGTCTGAGGCTTCCAGGACCTTGAAGTCACCTGGCAGTTTTCTCTGAAACGAGAGGAGCACACAGGAAACAGAATAACTCAACCACAGCAAAAGAAACAATACACGGGCCTCGTGAGAGACTTCGGCGAATTTCAGCTCATTCCCTTTCAGCGCTCCAAGAGCCCCATAAAGAACAGACAATATTCTAAATGTCTAGTGTGGCCATCTGCCCAAGGTCAGAAGTTATGAGGAAATTGCTGCATAAAAACTATTCTCTTAGGAGTTAAAAGTACCAATGCTAGAAGAAAATGTACAAAAAAAAAAAAAATAGTTCAAAAGCATATTTAAATGTTCAGAGGGGGAAAGGTACCAGGATCCTTTTTGGAAAAAGAACCAAACCTCTGGAAAAAGCAGTAGTGTGCTGGAGACAGCTTACACTAGCTTCTGAGAGCTGACTGTGCACTTCACTTCCCAACTCTCCATTCAGGGACATCACGTTGGTAGCTGGAAACTGGTAATGATGGGAGTATTTATACCATAGGAATTGGCAAATGGTACAATGGTACAGACCAGTTCTTTGGATTTTTTTTTTTTTTAAACAAAGAGCTGGTTGTTAAACATTTACCAGCACAACACAACACAACATTGGGCAAAGGTTCTATAGAAGTGAAAGTATTTTAGCTGCATGGCTAATGAGTGATTATACACATTTTAATGCAGAGTAATGTTTAAGCAAATGATGGTTTTAAATGCCAAGGAATTATGAATTATGTAGGAGAGTCTTTTGTGTGATTAGAAAAACATCACTGAGAAGTCATACTAGAATCATACATACATATTGCTCCATAATCTTTTATTCTTCTCACTTAAGAGAAAAAATATGCACTCTAGACAGTACCTGTGGGTGCATGGGTATTTGGGGGAGGTAGAAAACAGTAGAGAGTTGTCAATCTTTTTCTGATACAAAGATATAAAAGAGCTGAGTGAGTAGAGGCCCCGTAATCCAATGGGACCCTGAGAAGCCATTTCTCTGGCAAGCTGTAAGCACGTGTTGTTAAGACTGGAACACAGACGCCTGTGTAGACGGCCAAAAGCCCGCATGACTTGACATAGAGTCAGGGCTGAAGTATAAAGATCTGCTGAGATTATTTATTCTTTCTGATAGAGTTTTGAGTCTAGGAAAAAGTTCAGGGGAAGTTGAAACTATTTTCTACTGGAAGGTGAAACTAATGTGTGGAATTAAATTTAAGTAGAGTTCTAAAACAGTTATAAGAAAGGAGTATCCCTAGCCATGTGTAGGTGTTTACATTACTTAAAATCTTGCTCTAAAGTTTGTATAACTTTTCAAAAAAGTATTGAGGGTTATTTAACATTTATTCTTGTTATTATAGTAAAAAAGGAATATTTTTGTAGTGTCAATGAAGTGACCACAGTATGCAGGTTCCATATTATTTTTAAAAAGAAGTAGAAACACTTATAGCTGGAGGGTGGGATCCAAGATGTTAGTAGATACTCATCGAATTATGCTATAGAAAGGTTAGATACTGTTCTAATTTAAACACATGGCTTGTTAGGACAACATATAGCACAATATATTAAAGTTTGTAAGAAGATACTGTATATGAGAAAGGAGAAAACCTGGAAGCTAAAAATAGAGAGAATTTAATTTAATTTGCATTTCCCTGATGGCTAATGATGTTGAAGCAGAAAACACATAGGGAAATCTGATAACTCACCTTCAGTTTTTCCTTGAGAATTCTGTTCCTTTGTAGTTTTATCATTTCATTTCTTTCCAAAACAGCCTCTCGCTGACTTTGAATAGCTTGCTAGATTGTGAAAGAAATAAAAGCATGCAAAGAGGCCAAGGTTATCAACAGTGATGAGATGGTAAGATGCAATTTTTTTGGCAGATCTTCATTTGGCCCAAACAGTCAAATACACACACACTGAACACACTGAACTTGAACAACAGGGATTTGAACTGCCCGGGGCCACTTTTACACGGATTTTTTTTTTCCAATAAATATACTAGAAAAATTTTGAGATTTGTGAAAATTTGAAAAACCTTCTAGGCAAAGCTTATAGCCTAGAAATATAAAAATATTAAGAAATTTAGATATGTCATGAATGCATAAAGTGTATGTAGATACTAGTTTATCATCTACTACCACACAATATACATAATTCTACTATAAAAAGTTAACATTGGCCAAAACTCATACACAAACACTTACAACAGATGGTACATGGCACCGGTCAAAGCCCAGAGAAATGCAAACAAACGTAAAGATGCAGTATTAAATCATAACTGCATAAAATTAACTGCAGTACATACTGCACTGCTGCTATAATTTTGTAGCCACCTCCTGTTGCTACTGTGGAGACCTCAGGTGTTGCAAGTGTCTGCTTAACACGCCAGGTGAGGCTAATCATCTCTGCATGAGCAGTTCATCTCTCCAGTAAATTGCATATCACAGCAAACAGTGATCTCTAGCAGTTCTCATCGTGTTTAGTGCAATACCATAAGCCTTGAATAACACCATGGGACACATACAAAGTGCCACTTGTGACGATGGAGGGGCTCCCAAGAAGCAGAGAAAAGTCATGGCCTTACAAGAAAAAGTTGAATTACTTGATAGGTACTGTAGATTGAGCTCTGCAGCTGCGGCTGCCCACCATCTCAGACAGATTCATCTTGTAAACAGATGAAGTAAACCTACTGTGTTAATAAATACAATACAGTACTGTAAATGTATTTTCTCTTCCTTATGATTTTCTTAATAACATTTTCTTTTCTCTAGCCTACTTTATTGTAGGAATACAGTATATACTACATACAACATACAAAATTTGTATTAATTGACTATGTTATTGGTAAGGCTTCCAGTCAACAGTAGGCTATTAGCAGTTAAGTTATACACCGATTTTCAGCTGAGCAGGGAGTTGTTGCTTCTAACCTCCAAGTAGCTCATGGGTCAATTGTAATAGTAATCATAAAACATATTATTTAAAAATAACTAGTCCATACTTACTTTTCCCACCTTTCTTTCCCTGAAATTAGAAAAACATAACAATTACTTAACTTTTTTTATGCATCATGGCAGTCCTTCCCCTTTCCCTGAAAGCAGCACATGCTGCCGCGTCTCTGTGCCTTTGCATAAACTCTTTCCTAGATTCAGTGCTCTCTCTTCTCACTCACCTCCAGCGTCCATTTGGAAAAAATGTGTCTTTATTTCTCCATGTTAAGCCAGTGTTTTGTCAACTGTGGAATTTTCTGTGACCTCACTCCCAGTCAAAAATCAGCCCTCTAACCCTGGGTTCCCCCACAGCACCTTGCTTGTCCCTCACATATGACCTTTAACTCTCTTTTGGACAGTGAGGAGCTCAGAGACTAAGCAGTGTGCCTCTGAATCTGCAGCCCCTACTACAGTGTTCAATAAACAAATAAATTAAATCTGATTAATTATGTTTAGTTCTAGTGTTGGCGCTGGAAAGGGAAAGCTTGAGATATTCTTCTGTACTGGGGGCAGAGTGGGAAGAAACAGCAGGGGAAAAACATGAAGTCAAAATTCCAATCTAGTGCCGGGCGTGGTGGCTCACGCCTGTAATCCTAGCTCTCTGGGAGGCCGAGGAGGGCGGATTGCTTGAGGTCAGGAGTTCGAAACCAGCCTGAGCAAGAGCGAGACCCTGTCTCTACTATAAATGGAAAGAAATTAATTGGCCAACTAAAAATATATACCAAAAAAATTAGCCAGGCATGGGGGCGCATGCCTGTAGTCCCAGCTACTTGGGAGGCTGAGGCAGGAGGATCGCTTGAGCCCAGGAGTTTGAGGTTGCTGTGAGCTAGGCTGATGCCACGGCACTCACTCTAGCCTGGGCAACAAAGTGAGACTCTGTCTCCAAAAAAAATAAAATTTCCAATCTAGACCATGAGAGCAAGTGAATTCCTGGAGACAGTGGTCAGACTGAATGAAGTGGCGGTGGGCCAAAACACCCTGCGTACCCAAGACAGCCCAGCTTACACCTGCTGATCCTCTCTAAGGACTAACAACATCCCTTTTCGTTCTCAAAAGGGTCCCAACATGGAAGATAAGTGACAGTCTTCCTAGTTATTGGGGAACAGAGATCTACAGGGAAATCAACATCTATTAACATCTACTAAGCTCTAAAATGCTTCCCTGTCATTATTATTTGTTAGAATATGACTCTAAGAGAATGCTTCTACTTTTGGCCAAAGTCCTGATACTTTGAGGACCTTAAAAATCTGGGGAGTAGACAAATCTGAAGCAGAATCTGATACTTCAAAGCTGCCCCCTGACAGATAGTATTACAGACAGTGCCCCCCAGTTATGTGGGGCTGTCTACACTCTCTGCATCTGCAGGGGCCGGTGGGACATCGCACCGCATGGCCCAGGAGGTTCTGTCTGCATCTGGCATGTGTCAGTGGTGCCCCAGAGCCGTGTAGACAATGGGTGGCACTAAGCAGCCACTCTAGAAGGGAAGCCAAGTGGTCCAGATTCCCAGGACAACCTACCCAAGGGTCCTGAGGTCCCAGGAAGTCACCCAGCCTTTTCTTTCATCCCCAGCAGTCACTTTGCAAAGCCCAAGATGCCCACCACGTCATGAAGCCAAGCACTGTGGTTACTGTAGTCGAGATGCATGGAGGAAAGCCCCTCCCCCCCATCCCACCCCCCACTGGAGCACACAACCCTTCAAGCCCAGCTTGATACCTTAGGTATTCTGGCAAGTGGAGTTTGTCAGTCTTGGTGACCACCAGGGCCACATCCCTGCAGAAACCCCGCTGGCAGGCTTTGATGCTCTCATTTAGAAGGTCTTCATGGGCTTTGCCCCCAGACACTCGCTCTATGTCGCTGATCACCCAGATCACTGAGCACTTGTCAATGGTCTGTGAAACAGGACCACAGCATGCGTCAGCACAGGCACTGCGTCTCCGTTCTGGAGGACCGAGACCTTAACGTATCATCACATCCAGCTAAGTCCCACCTATCCCAGCTCCCCACCACATTCCTTTGCACCAGCTGAACAGAGCTACTCGCAGTTTCTCAGATGAGCTGTGCCCTGTTAACTCTCAGCCTTTGCACTTGCCACACCTCTGCTTAGCCTCCATTTGTACTTCAGGACTCTGCTGAGGACCCCTGAGGATGGGCTGGCCTTCCTTCCTCCATATCCTACAACACCTGGCCTTACTACTATAGTACCTCTTGGACACAGCAGCTATACCAGGTCTGCTCTCTGACCCCCATGGGAAGGGGCTGTCTGTACCTTTCATCCTAAAACTCACATCACCTGAAGCCCAGTGCTTGGCCCAATGAGAGGCTTTGTAGAAGCTTGCGGCATTAATACAATTCAATACATCAGTCCCCCAGTCCCAGATCCATAGCTGGCTTATTTTACCTCAGTTGTCCTCTGAGGAAAATTATTGTTTTTACAGAACTAGTTTTGGTGATGCCTCTACCCCAAAGCTGGCAGGAACCTCATGGCATAGTTTTGCTGTTCAACTACCTCTGCATGTTTAGCACATGGCCACCATATGGCAGCAGGGAGCCAGAAACTATGATTCAAGCTGCAAAAGCCAATGAGCATGAAATTACAATTTCTTGTTAGCATAAATATTGCTCTATTAAATATGCAACTTTCATATGACAAGTAATCATGAGTTGTCTCGTAACATTTCTCTTGTTGTGTTTTGCTTGTCTTATCTCTGTACAAATGAAAGCTGATCCAATTCAGGGACTGAATTTATTGACGGTTCCTCAGAACAGTGCTCTGCATATAAAGGTATGACAAGCTTGTGACTTGTCATAAATAATTGTCAAAATAATTCAATCATTATTTTGCTTTATACTAGTGGTTTTAACTAGCAGAGATTTCATGCCTTAAGAATACAGATTGTCCCTGACTTAGGATGGTTTAGCTTGCATTTGTCTTTTCAACTGGACATAAGCCCATCATAAGATGGTTCGACTTACGATTTCTGATTTATAGTGGGCTTATCAGGATGTTACTCTGTTGTCAGTCCAGGAGCATCTGTATTTGGCAACATCTGGTGACATTTTTAATTGTTACAACTTGGGGGTTACTAGAGTGGGTAAAGGCCAAAGACGCTGCTAAACCTCCTCTCCAATGCCCAGGGCAACCCCCACAACAAAGACTTATCTGGCCCCAAATATCAAGAGGTTGAGAAACCTTAATCTAGAACAGTGGGTTTCAGGTTGTTTTTAGCAGTGAATCCTCTTTCAAATGAAATCTTTGGGAAGAATTCCATCATATAAATTTGATTTTTAAAAGTGAACTGCTCCGGTTGAATTGGGAGTGGATTGGGAATTGGGAGAGGATTTGGAGCCACAATCTGCTCAATGCCGCCTCCACCCTCTGTCCGTGAAGCTTCTGGCTCCATAGATCATTGCTTAAAAGACATCAATTTCTCAAATTAGACAAACCCTTTCAATTATAGGGAAGTAAACAGGCCCAAGAGGTAAAGAGACCAGCTTAGGGCCACATTACCACGCTGACTGTCCTCTATATGTAAATAGATTAGGCAAGAAAATAACAACCACTGCTGCCCCTCTCACTTCCCAAATTATAATCAACGTAGAGAAGCTTCAGGCTCTGCCGTGCCAGCAGTGGGCAGTGAACTGTCCGATCATGCTGCAGGAGGTTATGAGCATACCAGGCTGGGAGCTCCTCCAGGGCAAGGCCTCTTTCACCTTTGTATTACCCATGGTCTTAGTAAACTACTGGTGCTTAATAAATGTTTATTAACATAAGAACAAGACTGCAATCATAAAGTTTGCAGTGATTAAATTTCAGGCCCCACACAAAGCTCCTAACAGCCAGGATTTAATAAAATTAGAGTTGCAGAAGATACAAAAAAAGCATCGCTATAAAACAAGCACAGCTGGACTTAAGAGTGGATGGAATGACAACCTGCCACCCCCACTACCATCCCCCTCCATGAGGAGCATGGGCCTCGGAGGGGTTAGGTGACATGCCTAAAGTCACACAACTTCTGGGTGACAGACCAGGGATGTCTGAATCCGTAACAGCTTTCAGGGAAGGCAGAGCTGGCTGCCAGAACAATGTGGGGAGGGCCACTGTGCTCTGCTCTCCCTGAAAAGAGGGGAGTCTTGCTTGAGTGTACCTTTTTGTGAGAGGACACCGCAAAACCACAAGAATGCAGGGAAGCCAAAGCCAAGCAGAGCACGCTGGAACCATCCCATGGCTTCAACACCACCTCTCAGAGTGTTTTGAGGCAGATCTGCTGGCTTGGATAAGCGGCCCCATGTATCTGAACTGCCGCAGTCACAGCGCCATCCAGAGAGAGGCCTGGCCACCCCCTAGCCCGCTGTTGCTGGGCCTGGAACCAGCCAAGGTTAGTGATTCCACTCAGGAGCTGAGACTCAGTGGAAACTCTAAGGCTCATGTGGCCGGACCACAGCCACTGACCAAGGGGAAGGACTCTGAGGTTACCTTCGTCTGAAAGGAAGTGTACACAGGGGCTGTCCTGGGAGGAGGGGTAGTAGATAGAGGCCCAGCAGGGAAGTTCGGAAACCTGCTCTCCAGTTAAAATTCCATCACTCACAAGCTGTGAGTGGTCTTGGGCAAGTCACTTCCCCTTTCTGAGCACTCATTTTTTCATCTGTGCAAGCAGGGCAGGGACTAGCTTATCTATAAGTGCTCATCCTATTCTAGATTGTAACTGGAAATTATGGTCACAAAGCTCCCCCGGCCCACAGTCACTCATTTAGCACAAATCTGCAGAATTTAAAGAACCGAAATCTTTGGCAGTTGCAGTGCTGCTCGTGACTGTCTGATACTGGGCCTGCCTCCCAGACCCTTCCAGCTCTGGTTCTGTGCCCCTGGGTCCCCGCCCTGTGCTCCAGAGCTCCTCTGGCCACCACACCCTCTCTCTTTCTCTACCTGCCACACGCCCCACTCTGTCCTTGTTTGCTCTGCCTACTCCTGGGCTGCTCTATTGCTGGTTCTTCTCGTGTCACACATTCTCTTTCCAGCTATGAAGCCTATCCTATGATTTCTCCCTCCCAATTTCTCTGGCCACCTGTATCCTGATATTGTCCTGAGACTTAAAACATAGAAAACACAAGAACTTAATTCTAATGAACTCATAAAATCCCTGAAGCTGAAGGCAGATCATTCTTTGTTGCTTTACAAAGGGTGGAGGAGTTGAAGGAAGACAGACTGGAGCCCCATGAAAGACAATCACCTTTTTCCACATCTCGTCCCTTTTGCTATTGAAGTCGCCTGTGCCTGGGATGTCCACCAGCACGACCCCTTCTGGGATCAGCTCAGATTTGGGAAGAGTCACTTCCACATGTTTGATCAAGGGCCAGATACGAGCCTCGGCTGACTCTCCATCCCAGCCTCTCCTCTGAGTCCGGATGTAGGCGTCCAGCTTGTCAGACAGCTCTCCTGCCTGAGGAAGAAGGACAAAGTCACACAACCCCGCCATTCTCAGCTCTTTTCCCCTGGGCTGGCCACGATGCAGGTTCGTGGAAGGTATGCCGAGCAATGGGAAGATGTGCACCGGGCAACGGCATCAGATGCGGTCCAGTCTGCAAGGCCTAGACCGTGACAGCCAGGAAGGACCCTGGGGATCAGGAAGTTCAAGCTTCTTAACTTACAGATGGAAAAACCAAGGTCAGCTCAAATGGGACTTCAAGGAAGTTATAGAATCACTGCACAAAATTTATCTTCTAAATTTCATTTAATTCTAAAGTTAATGTCAATAGTATGCAGTTTTCTAAATTTTATAGAGAGAAGAGTCTTCTTACATGGCTAATGTGAACAATTTTAATTACCAGAAAGCCAGCAATGACCATAGAAAATTGATAGTGATATGATGACTGTATTTTCCAAATTGAAAATTGATCTTAAAAAAAAAAGGTTTTTAAAGTTATCTTCCACGTACAAAAATATCTTGATATGGAGGCATTTCCAGGATGTTTTAATGATGGTGGGTGGGACAGGGAATTCTCAGCCTACTGTTTCTAGTTAGACAAGTCATGGGACAATGACACATTCATTCATGCAAGCAACTAAGGTAGCAAATCTCAACTGAGGTGCTTCAGGGGATGGAAGATTTGGGATGCATGGTGGTCACTGTTAAATAAATATCTAAAGAATGGTCCTGAAAGAAAGATAAGAACGTAAATTCTTAAGAGAGTTTAAATTAAATCAGTGGGTTTGTTGCAATCTGCATAGGGAGTAACAGATTTCATCAATTCTAATCAAATGACAAATTGTGAAAGAGGAGATAATAAAAGCCCTTTAAGATATTTTAATGAAAAAGTAGAGCAGATGTGATAAGAGATGGCAGAGTTCTTTGAAAAGGTTTCATTCATTTGATTTCTAAGTGTGCCTAGTCAAATATTTAAAGTATTTTGGGGTACTCAAATTCATTAAACTTTAATTATAATACAAAAAGCCTAAGGAAATTTGATTAATCATGTAAGTAGCATTACATATTTAAGGAAGATTTGCTTTGTTAATAAGGAGATGACTGAAAATTCAATTTTAGGACAAGTATAAGCAATTGTTCTCATTTTGTATAAAAATTGCCAGATTATAATTAGAATAGCAATATTTTAAAGGTGAATTCTAAGGTATAAGAAAAACTAGTTTTTTAAATGTACAAATTTAATTAATTGGTTCCATAAATATTTTGCTATAGTTTAGAAACTGAACTTAAAATGAATATTTATTATAAAAGCAAGAATATTGTTCTAGTAGTTATTGTTCTAGTAGAATATTGTTCTAGTAGCCTATCCAATATTCATCCTGTCCTCCTCCTATGCCAGCAGAATCCTGATTTTATTGCCTGTCTGTTTGGAAGGAAGTAGAGTGAGACTGGTCTAAGCAAATCATGACAAGTCTGCTTCTTGATTTCTCTAGACTCCCTTTCAGCTAGGAAGGGCCATGTGGTCCCTCAGTTCTCAACAATGAACTTTACACAGAAATTTTTAAGAAGTATTTCTAGGAAGGCTTTTACTTTCTGATGAAAGGGGAAATGTGGTAGATGGTGCTGACTTTTTATCCACTTCTTCCTTCAAGGAGGCCAGCTGTGACGTCTACCACTTCATTAGCTATCTTACAAGGATGACGGAAGGCCAAGGGAACCAAAGAGATGCTGATCTTGACATTGTTGAGCCACTAAACCAACCCAAGACCTGTACTATTTCCAAACTTCTTATATAAGAAAATGAATAAACCCCTATTTGTTTAAGCTATTATAAGTCATTTTTTAAAAGCATTTGTAGCCCAAAGCATCCCTAATTAATCCTCAAGTAACTGTAAACAGTCTTTTCAGTGCACACAAGCTCCTCCATTCAGACACTAAAAAACCCCACGTGACAGCCATAAATGATGAAAGATAACTTGGGTCATGGATACTGCTGATTTGGGTATCAACTTATTTCTAGTAAAAACTCTGTACATGAGCAAGTCTTGTAAACAGATTCAACTGTGATACTTAAGACCACTGATGAAATTTTTTAAAAATCTTGACGCTACCTCTTCTGCCTTGAGGGTGATGATTCTGGAGGTGGGAATCTTTCCCTTGGGCTTCACCCTTAGCAACTGCTCGTAGCTCTTACTTTCCGCGCCATTTCCATAAACCATTTGTAGCTTCCAGATGGCTTCCTCCACTGCGTCGTCCCTGTCCCATGCAGCCGCCTCCTCTCCGCCCGGCTCCTCTGTCCCGTGCAGGAGTCTAGTCAAGTTCTTCAGTTCCTCCTTCCACTCCTGCCAAGGCAGAGTAGGGCCACGCCCCTCATGACACAGGTATAGAAAACAACGATCAAGGGAGAAGCCCACTACCCCCTGCAGAGGGCCAGGGAGCTGCATATTTGGGATATCTAAGACCATCTAATCTGGGGGCCAAAGAGGGAAATGGCTTGCCAAATCCCAGAATGAGCTGTGCTGAGACCTGGGTTACAATGCCCATCTTACTCTGTTGAACCTTCTCATTCTACAATATGCTCTTCTTATTCAACAAGGACAGGAGCTATATTTACAAGGAATATAATGTTAATCTCCGAGAGACAGTGAGAAAGAAAGAAAATAAGGGAAGGAAAGGTGAGGAATGAAGGAAAGGGAGAAGGGAGGAAGGGAAGGAGAAAAAGGAAGGAAGAAGGCAGAAAAAGAAAGGAAGTAAGGAAGGAAAGATGGGGAGAAGGACGAGAAGGATGGAGGGAAACACTTACCTGGTCGGAAAGAAGGTGGATTTTGGCCTCGTATTGCTCACAGCAGCTGGAGCTCACTTGTACGATGCATGAAGTGCATATACTTTCTCCAGACACTGGTAGGAACATGGCTTGCTGGATGATGGCATTGATTAGGGAGCTCTTCCCAGCTCCAGTGCTTCCAAATAACCCAATGTAGACTGGGTCCAATGACGGCTTTTCAATCAAGGCAAGAAGCCTATTTCTGCATCGGTTTTAAAAAGCACATTGTCATGATTATCAAAGTGTAGGGTGAAGAACATGGAAACAGAATGCAAAAGAAGTGAGTTCTAACCCTTGGCAAGTCACTACATCCTTCTGCATCTCCGCTGTCTCCTCGGTCGGGGAGAATATTAATCCCTGCTTACTACAGAGAGTTGTTGGCCAGGGGATCACATGAGATTGCACAAAAACATCTGGTGATTCTAATTCTCCCCAAACCCTGCAATGTCTACACAGATGCGAGGCACCCTCGTTTGTGTCCTATGGAAATTGCATATTCTAGAAATAAAATTTATGCAGAGGTAAAGTAGTATGAGGAACAACACCGAGTCTTACTGAGCAGGAGAAATTGTAGCTTTGGCACCACTCAAGTCCTTCAAGTCAGAGGGACACAAATAGCTGGGGGCGTAGGCTGGGAGTGGCACAGCCTAGGTCAGATTCTGGCCCTTCTTACTTGCCAACAATGTGACTTTGCCCAGTGTCTTGCCCTCTCTGAGCCTCAATTTCACTAAAATGGGAATGATCGTGATAGCTCCTACTTTACAGGGGTGCTGGGAGGATTAAATGAAATCTGATCTATGTAAAGTACTTAGCATATTACCTGACAACAGTGGTAGCTATCAGAATGGCAATTATCAGCTATAATAATAATGGCCCATGGCTACAGAAATTTTCTGCCTTCTTTGCTTAGTTTCTAATTGAAAACTCCTTTTCATTGTTGGGGAAAAGCACCTACAATCACCTAAGGAAAGACATCAACTTAAGATTTCAGGGTAAGCAGATTTCAGACTCACATAAGATACTTGACTCCATTACGAATGCTGTCGTCCAGGAAGACAGACTGAATAAGTTTCTGGTAAGTGTTGCTCAAAACCCTTCTGGTCCGGGACTCTAATTTCTCATCTGGAATCAATAGAAATGCATTACCTGGGAGGTACTTGGCAGGGATCAAGTACTAGGTCTCCAAAGGTGGAGTCTGCTGAATATTGCAAAGAAGGAAAAAAAAATAAATGAAATGAGAAGCCAATTAAATAAGATAGCAAGTTATCTGACACTAGAGACGCTGGCTCACGGGAGATAGCAGTCAACTGGTGCTGCTAAACCTCCAAAGAGCAAGGTTACTCTGAAACTCCTTGTAACAGAAGTCAGCATATGCTTTGCCATGGGCTTTTTAGCCCCTTCTAGATTCTTCTCTCTTTTGGTCATAAAAAGAAAAAAGCGCAAGGATATCATGTAAACACCCACTACACTAAGCACCAAACTAATCATTTTCACAGTCTTTGCTCTAATCAAGTAGAGGTTATTTTGCATAACAACCCTCCTACCCAGGGACACCTGGAGAGAAATTGTCTAATTACAGATTGCTGCAGAGACTCCCTTTCTGAAACAGGTTCATTTCAAGACGTTTCACCTGCTTTAGAATTTTACCTTCTCTTCCTTTGAACATTTTAACATATTTGGAAAAGAATAAAACCATGTTAAAAACAAGCTATACAACAGTGTCATGACACTCACATTCCTTAAGAGCACATTGCTCCACTGAGGGAAATGCTCGGAACCGCTGGTCTCGATCTGATCGTCTTCGTTTTTTTATTGGTTCTTTAAATAAATCATCTTCAACTAGAGATAAACAGAGGTTATACAAAATTATAGATCTTGGAGCATGGTATCTTTGTCTTGCCTCTATCAACACACAAACCCAAAGAGTCTCAGAGGACTCTGCCACTCTGCCCATAAACTCATTTGGAAAAGAACACTGTTGGATCATTCCAATTTGGTTCCTGCTTCTCAGAGTCACCAGATTTTTTTGCATTTACTTCCAAACCTATATCCTCAGATGAAAAGTTTATATTTAGAAGTCCTCAGAAGCTAAAGTGGCTGGACATTCTTCAACAAATGCCAAGTTTTAGAAAATCAACCATATCAAGAAAAGCCCATGCCGGGGCTAAGTGTGGGGTGAGGAAAGGCCTCTGGGAGGTCTTTTCAGACTAGGAAAGAAATCAATCAGAGTAGAATGAAGAGGGAAGAATGGACCGTGTGATCAGGGCAAATCACTTCCTCTTGAGCCTCAGTTTCTTCATCTGTAAAATGAAATGAAGACAAAAACATAGACATTACAAGAGTTTTGGAGGGTACCCTATAAAATGGATGCCCCTTCAGAGATTAAATACGGGAGAATTTTTTCCCCTTCATCACCGAGAGACATTAGCAGCTGCTTCCTTATGTAGGCAAGAATAGAAATCACTTGAGAAGCAGATCTTCGTAGTTCTGCAGCTATTCATTCACTTAAATGGTTACCCTTGGTTATGAAGTAGAGGGCTGGTAGGGCCCATAATCCTAAGAAAAGGGTATAACCAAAATGTAGTGTTTTGGATGAGTTTTAGAAAACACCCCTTGGCAGTGTTCACCTTGCTAGAAAGGGCCAATAGGTGCATCCTTGGGGTGGAGGTTGTTGAAAATGGTCCTAACCCAGTGCTCCTGTGGCTGGTTTATGCCTTGGGAAATGGTTATGGGTGAACTGGAAGCGTTGACCCCCCAAGAGTCTTAACACTATCAGCTTATATAAGGAGAGCTCACGGCTCTGAAACCAAGTGTGGCACTAAGAGGCTATCTGCCCTGTAGAACCACAGAGAAGGAGCTTCACATGGGGACCCAGGATAGCAAGCAGCCCATGCAGAAGGCCCAGCCGCTGCCACCGGGCTCCAGATTCAGTCTCCCAGACAGTGCAGGCAGCCCTCCCCCTCTGTTGCATCTTCCAGCACAAATTCTGCTGTGTTCTGGAGCCAATGCACAAACCGCAGAGTATTCTAGAACAGAGCCATGCTACTTGCCAAAGCCTGAATCTCTGCCACCTCATGTTCATGTGGCGACAGGGAGTTGAAAGAGGTTATGCTTTAGACTCTATCTCAGACTCTTTAACTCATGACTTGACTTGAAGAATTCACCCTGGCTCTGTTTAGGGGCTAAATAATTAGGACTAAATACCAAGTGGTTGCTGGCTCTGTGGCTGGACTGGAGAGGAAGAGGCAGAGAAAAAAGGGCATAAAAGAGCATGTTCCTCAGGCACCCAACCCAGCACAAGCTGCAGGACACTTTAATCTGTGTTCCAAAAGGCAGCTCAGAATTCCAGGCTCTTTCCATGACCTGTGTGGGGGGAGAACTTGACAGGATGTCAACTTTGCAATTCAGGAACTCTTTTGTGTAAACAATGTTTGCATAGTCTCTTAGCCACATGCACAAAACAAGGGACAAATCCACACATCCAGGGCCTTATTTCAACTTTATGAAGACTGGCAATTCATCTGGGGTAAAAGATTAAATAAAAGATTAGAAGCTTATTTCTCAACTAAAGCAAAAGCTAAGAAGTCAGCTAAAACAGGATGTAAAGCTTTATCTGCAATTTCTAAAATGCAAACCTAGAAAGGAGAAAGTATTCCACCTTGGATTTATACTATGTAAGGGTAGAATTTTCATATCAAATCAGAACTGGAACAAACTGGCCTGAACCTGGATCACAGCTCTTATTATTCCCTTTAAACGCTCAAGCACCCCCCTGCCTTTTCCAGCGAATTATCCCAGAAGGAGCAGTAGGGGTGGATGGCCTCAGTCCAAAAAAGCCCTTAGACTACTGCTGCTGTATCTTATTGCTGCCACAAGGTGTCGCTTCTGAAAACTGAGCCCCCAACAGCCCGAGCCCAGACACGGGTTCATTGGTGATTGAGACATTGCCAGAGACTGCTGTGGATCATCCAAGCAAACAATCCCACTGCGCACAGCTAAGCTCAACCAAGAGGACCCCAACGCTGCAATTCTTTGTGTTTGCACACCCAGCCATGCTCTAGATGCTGGCCACAACCCACTAAACCAGAAACACTGCTTCTCCTTCCCCTGAGAGGATTCATCCCCTGGGGCTGAGAAAAAACTTTCCCTCTTCAGTCCTCAAAATACAAATGATGTGCTACACCCCTGTTTTCTGCACGTGGGGCTTCAATCCATGCCGTCGTCCCAGGGAAGGCTCATCCGTTGGCTCCACACTAACCTTCTGAGGGAGGGGAGCCACCCACGCCTACTGCAGCATGGTTCACCCTTGAAGGAGCCGCCCCCACGTTCCTATGTCTCCCCTTCTAGGAAATGTCACTTGTCCCCTTCTAGGAAATACCACTTGACCCCTTCTAGGGAAAGCCACTTGACATCATTCCCGGACCTTGCCCTTCCCATCGTAAGAGGAGCTACCTTCAGAGGGTCCAAGGTGATCTTTTTGTTGTTGTTGTTTTATTTTTATTTATTTATTTATTTTATTTATTTATTTTTGAGACAGATCTCACTCTGTTGCCCGGGCTAGAGTGCCGTGGCATCAGCCCATCTCACAGCAACCTCAAACTCCTGGGCTCAAGCCTCCCAAGTAGCTGGGACTACAGGCATGCACCACCATGCCCAGCTAATTTCTTTCTTTTTTTTTTTAGTAGAGCTGGGGTCCCACTCTTGCTCAGGCTGGTCTTGAACTCCTGAGCTCAAATGATCCGCCCACCTCAGCCTCCCAGAATACTAGGATTACAGGCATGAGCCACCGCACCTGGCCTGAGGTGATGTTTGGAACATTCTTTTTTAAAAGGCAGAAAGCTCCACAAATTTAATTGCTGGTTGAGCAGTTCACTTCCCCATGAATAGCCTATTTTAGTTATTGTTGAAATAACTCATATCCATTCACTATTTAAACTTCTCATAAGAAAGCAGCTTCTGAATAAAGACCAAGGCACGGTGAGGTGACTCCAGCTAAATACAACTGTCTCAGCCCATCTGCCTGTGACCACAGGACAGTGTCAGCTCCTGTTTACTCCACCAGGGGACACTGCAAGGCTGTTACCTGGGTGTAGCTCCTCAGTGCCTGCCATTCCCTGGAGTGATGTGACACCCGCTCTGTCCACTTAGGGTCAGTCACCAGCCTGAAAAGACAAAGTACAGGTGGGTGGGGCAGCGGAATTTGAAAATACAAAAAGCAAAAACTTAAGAGCATGCAGATCGACTTGTATGCTGTTTGTGACCATTCCACCTTATCTTTGAATCCCTCAAAAGCCCAGGATACTATTTCATTTCAATATAACAAAGATCATTGCTCGACCACTGGTTTTTTGTTTTTGTTTTTGAGACAGGGTTTCTCTCTGTCATCCGGGCTGGAGTACAGCACCACAATCATAGCTCACTGCAGCCTCAAACTCCTGGGCTCAAGTGATCTCCTCCCTGTGCCTCCCAAAGTGCCAGAATTACAGGCATGAGCCACCGTACCTGGCCAACCATTGGTTTTCAATAATACTTGTCTCTGTAAAAGCCTAAACTGATATTACCAGAGATCTTTAAGATAACTCACTCTGAAAATGAGAATGAACCATGGAGACCAGAGCTGTGGTGAAGCTACACAGCTTTGCTGCTTTGGGTGGTGTCAGTGCCCCAGTCAGGTGAGCCTTGAACACTTGTGCCAGTGATACTTAGTTCTAGCAAGTCTTAGCAAGAATCTGGGAGGAGGATCGAAAATTCCATATTCCCAGGGTTCCCTGGAATTGTTCTGGGGACTAACTGACTAAGGAAGGAGAGATGCAGTAACAAGGTTATCTGAACCTTCCTCATCACCCCCACCTCAATTAGGAGGGCACCCCTACTGGGGGTGACGTGAGCTGGCAGCATGGGACATCTGCAGGTGGGAGAGGAGAGGCACATCCAAAAGGAAAAGCATCAGATCCAGGCTATCTCCAGCCCGCCGGCAGACAGAGCCTGGACACGGAGGGAAAACCGGATCCATGGAGGCTCCGAGCAGAGGGCACTGCACACACAGGGTGGGGATCCACTATCCTGGAGCTTCTTTGTCTCCACCCATAGAGGAGAATTTGGGGAATGAAGCAGGGAGCACCCAAAATGCTCACTCTGCATTATCTGATGTTTCTGTTTGGATCACCCACCTGTGTATTACAAAAGCAGAGGCACCAGCCCTTCTGAAATATGCAAAATTCCTTCTGATCTGTCAACCCCACTAGACCTGTAGGTCATCAGTTAGGGAAACTGTGCCTCATTTACATATTAACCCCAAATTAAAATCATGACTCATCAGTCAAAATAGTCCCTTACTCTTAGTCTGGCTTGCAGATACTAACTGACTAAATAGCTGCTGTATTTTGTGAGTGTTGGTTGAATGTGGTGAGAATCCCTAAGATGTGCGAGGTCCTGAGCCTCAGGCAGAGATCTGCACCTCTCTATTCCTTCCTTTGCGGCCCACTGTTGGGCCACCCCACACCCCTCATGGTTCTCCAAGGCAGGGTATCCTACTGAACTGCCACATACTTTAGCACATGTGGAGTGTCCTTCCACCGTCTCCCAGGTGAATTCCTACTCTTCCTTCAAGATCCCGTTTTAGCATTTCCTCTGTGAAATGATGCCCAGTTCCCAATCGTTGCCCCCTGTGTCCCCACTGTTCTGTGCACACCTCTGTCATAATGCTAACTGTTCTCCTTTGTGTCTCTTCCTCCTTGTTGAGCCATTCAAGGTCAGGGGGCTGCACTTTTTCAATGTTGCATTTCTACCAAGAAGGGCAATGACAAACAATACGTGTTAATGGAATGAATGAATGAAATAATGGATGGGAAGATTTTGATGAGATTCCATAACAAAGGAAGTTTAAAAAAAAATTAGGTTTTGATATGATTAGAGTACTGGCTTACAGAACAAAGGAAAGAGTAGGAATACATGGACAAGTATGCAGATGAAGCAGCATTCATGGTGAGGACTGCTCCACAGGGACTAGGAATGTATGGCTTGAGGAAGAGAGGACACAGGAAAAGGCAAAAGATGGGGAGGAGACTTTATGGCAGTCTTCAAGTACATTACTTTAGAGCTGCCTACAAAACAGACATGCTATTTTCTATTTTTCCAAGAGGGCAGAACTAGATCCACTAGGTGGAAGGTACAGAAAACATTTTGGTTTAATATTCTCAAGTAATCAGGGCTGTCCAAAATGGAATGCACTCCCTTAGGATGTAATGAATTTTCTGCCACTAAAGGTATCTGAAACTATGCTAGTATTACCACCTAATAATGGCATTGGACTAGAGGAATATTAGGGCTTCTTCAAATCCCAAGATTCTATGTTTTTTACATTTCTTTTAAGTTTTAATTTTTTAAGAGACATGATCTCGCTCTGTCACCCAGGCTAAAGTGCAGTGGCACTATCAAAGCTTACTGTAGCCTTAAACCCCTGGCCTCAAGCAATCCTCCCACCTCAGCCTCCCAAAGCACTGGAATTAAAACTGTGAGCCACTGTGCCCAGCTCCAAGATTAATGTTCTTACTTGAAATGTTCATCAGTAAAGCTGGTAGTGCAAGTGCTCTATAAGGTCACTAAATTTCATAAAAGACACAGCAATTTCTGATTTGAAATGCTAAGTTGGAAATGCTAAAGTACATCAAAACCTAGGTGAGTTAGGAGAAAACAAAAGGTACATTAGCTCTAACATTGGCAAATACACAGTAATACATCAACAATTCCTAGATACAGAACTAGGAATTACCCATAGGAAAGAAATCTGCTGTTTTCTGAAAAGAACAGCTCAATAGGCCATTGTCACGCAAAATGCTGGGCACATATCATCACAGTGGACACTAGAATCAAAACAAAACGCATGATCTCACAAGGGACAGATCTACTGCAGACCCCCAGGACAACTCATGTACTGAAATTCAAACTCCAGGAAGAAAGAGTAGAGCCAGATGAAGCTCAAAAGAGCTAAAAGACCAAGATAAGCATTATCACCATACAAACACGGAGGTCAAGGCCCTTCAATCTGAGAGGGATGTGGGTCAAAGGGCATAAAATCAAAGGACTCAGTTTAGAGGAAAAGACGTGTTCACTGAATTCTGGAAGGTGGGTGGTAGTACTGCCTTCTTCAGAGTCACAGGAACTTTAGTTCATTTGACTCCATTCACTACATGCAGTACACAGTGGCTGGCAAGGGCTGTTAGCACGTAACCACCAGGGGTGGATTGGGTTTAGCTGCATGCAGTGGAGACACCAAACCACAAGCCTCCCACTGTAGTTGCATCTGTGGTAGCAGTAGGGTTCAAAAACTACACAACTGAAATGTGGAGTAACTGGAGACTTTCTGAGATGTGGCTGTGCTGAACTGGGCTTTGAATTCCTTCTGCCCACATTCAAAGACTGCCAGGAAGGAATCATTTGACTGGCAAACTAAGACACTGGAAAACAGAAAAGGATCATTTACAAAGAGGCTAAGAGGATAGAAAGAAACAAGCACCAAGTACTTAAAAAGGAAAACCTATAAACAAAAGAGGGGGTAGTTTGATATAGACACTCAGTGCACATCTCTGTGTTGAACTAAATGATATGGTGGAAAGGGCAGTAGGCCAGAAATGAGGTGTAGGAGGTTCCAGTTTTGGCTTTGCCACCAATCAAAAGAGCTGTAGCACTTTGGACAAGTCACTTTATCACTCTGGGCCTCATGTTTCCCATCTGTGAAAGACTGAACTAGTCCTTAAAGTGTGAATGTTCTCTGATTTACATTGGTCCTAAAAGGATGAAAATTCTCATTTTGAAATGTCATTTGTCACTGAAACTAGGACTGTACCAATGATTAAGGCTTCCGTGTAGCCCAAAGTGGTACAACTGAGAGTACTATAATATCAAGTTCATTTTGTCAGGAAGAAAACGACCACATAAGTATGGTCCTTACTCAAATTATTCTGGAGTCCACTTTCCTTCAAAGGGAGGTGGTGATGGTGGTGCATATTGTGAAAATTTGGTTTCTGTGGAGAAGCAATTGAAAAGTCCAAATTCACTGCTCAGACAGGCCAGGTTCTGCCTGTGTGGTTTATTTCACTTGTATTTCAACTATGTGGTTAGCACGTAAGTTTTGCTTTTAGTACTTATTTACATTCATGTGCACTGAGCCTAAGAATAGTACCTTTTAAATGAGACTCTGCGCATTTAGCTACATATGGGAAGGTCGTACAGAACTGGTTTCCTGTTAAATAACTGTGACTTTTGACAGTTATTCTTGCTTCTCTCACTCTCCCTTTCTTCTGTTTGTGTTTGCTTGGTTTTTTTTTTTTTTTTAGAAAAATAACAGAGGCAACAAATTATTTCTATACTAGAATAGCTGCACATAGTGAAATTAAATAAAGAACACTAGAGCCCCTTCTTTTACAGATATGGACACTGAGGCCAGAGAGGGGTAAGGAACTTGTCCAAGGTCACATAGTTAGATCCTGGCAGTGAAGACTCAAACTCAGGTTTGACTCTAAGATCAGTGTTCCTTTCATTACACTAAGTAGTCTATAAAAGGCACTACTTAAACAAACCCTCTAGAGCTTGGGTAAAGGAGAATGGAGGGACTAGTGCCCATATTTGAGGGTTCTCTCAAATGCATGACAAAGGCATGTCTTGGGAATGAAAGCTGCTGAGTAGAAGGGAGAGTAGCCACTTGATATAATTTCACATAGGAACTCAAACTTCAGCTACTGCCTGCAAACTCTAAGATGCTCTCAGCAGCAAAACAAGCCAGAGGGAGAGTGACAGAGAATCCCAGAGCAGTACACTCTCACTGCATTTGTTGTGTGTCCAATGCAGAATGACAACTGTCCTGTTCTTTCTTTTTCCCTAGTTTTTCCCTTTAGTCAGAATCTTATCTCACCCTACCTTTTCTTGCACCATGACATGTCAACATTCTTACTTTCTTTTAATTTCTACCACCCTCTACCAAAGTAGCACTAATATAAAAAAATTAAATACTTAAATTAGCAAGGTTTCTTTAAGGGACATTTTGATCATTAACACTGGTTTATTCCTACTTTTAATAAACATAGGAAGTTCGTGGTATACAGTAAACACTGAATAAATATTTGTTGAATGAAGTGCATCTTTTAAATGTATCTTAGATAGTGAGATCAATAATGGCAAGGATTCTATTTATTGTTTTATTCATTCATTCAACAAACATTTGTTGAGTCTCTACGATGTGCCAGGCACTGTCCTAGGTAGTGGGGAGACAGTAGGGGACAGACTGGACAAGGTGTCTGCACACAGGGCATACCTTCCAGACTCTGAATGATGTAGTGGAAATCCCTGAGGATTTGGAGTCAGAATGCTTGGATTTTTGCTCCTGCCCATACTTCAATCTCACACTGAGCAAATCACCTGATCTCTATGAGCCTCAGTTTTTCCACATATAGAATGCAATGGTAAAAATACCTATATTAGTTCATCGTGAGGATTAAATGTGATAATGCATGCAAAATTGTTCTATGGGCACTTAAGAACTGGTACAGATGTTATTTTTAGAATATTTTGTGAAGGCAATTAAACTAGAAACCAGCCCTAGTATTCACCTGGGCCAAGCCTACTTAGGTTGGTGGGAACATATGCCACCTTAACTGAGATCCTGACTCTCACTCTTCTCTCCATTGGTCCTTGAGGATGCTTTACCATTTTCCTTAAAGTCTTTGGTCAAGTTTTTTCTCCTTCCCACAAGGAGGTAGGCTGATGAGTGAAATGAGGAGGAAGAGATTCTTAATAAAATGATGGAAAGTTGATGACATTTAGGATTTATTTCCTTTCTCTTTAAGTTTTAGGTTTAAGTAACTTTGTTGTTGGCAACATCTCCTGACCACCTCAGTGGCCATTGCACTGTTCTTCCAAAGTAGGGATGTCCCAAAGGAGCAATCTAAATGCATTAGCTCAAAAGCAAAAGGTGAAACAAGGGCCTTCAAACCTCTAAAGGTACAGAGGTATGTTTTCAGCATTAACACATCAGCTAACATGTTTGACATTAGAAGTGTTGTCACCCGAAGCAGTTTGTATAGAAGAGACATTGGGATGGCATGTTTTTTCCCCATTCTTCTCCCCTAGGTAAATAGGTAAGTAAAATAAGCAGATATTTTCATAACGTACTTTATTGGATTCTAATTAAATGAATTTGAATCTTCTCATATTGCTCCTTCAAGCTTGTCAAAGCTAATGAGGCATAAAATGACATTTCCCCTGACAATATGAATATCAGGAATGCATATTATCACCTGCAACAATAGTGTCTGCAATAGCTGTTCTCTTTTGGGAGGAACAACTACTAAACTGCCTAAGACCACACTGTTAAGTAAAATTCAAACTAAATCCTGATTCTCCCCATTTCTAGTCCCACTGGCCTTCCCAAAGCAGGAAAGTAAGCAGAAAAGTAAAATTCACTTTCCCTCAAAAAATAACTTACTTTAAGAAAATCAAGTGAGGGAGAAGAGACAAATGTCACACACAGAAGAATTCCAAACAATTTATGTAACTACTCCCTGCTCCTTAAGTGTGTGCTTTGCACAGTGACTTCCTCCCAAAGAGTACAGTATAGAGATCAGGGGGAAAGAGTCCCTTTACAATGGAGAAACTTGACAAGCACTGCCTCAGCCAGGTGACCAAAGTCAACAGCAACAGCAACAGGTCATGTTGATAGTATGTACCCTTGATATGATGTGATGAAAACACACTTTACCTCTGTGATCTTCCTCCCCAACACCCATTACTCCTGTATTATCATGAGAAAAGAATCAAACAAATGCCAATAGAGGAGAATCCTACAACATACCTGACCAGTACTCCTCAAAACTGTCAAGTTCATCAAAAACAAAGAAAGCCTAAGAAACTTAACGTTCCAACCAAAAGGAAGCCTAAAGAGACATAACAACTAAATTGTAATGTGGTATCCTGAATGGGACCCTAGAAGAAAAAAACGATATTAGATAAAAACTAAGAAATCTGAATATAGATTTTAGTTAATAATAATGGATCAGTATTAGTTCATTAATTGTAACAAACATGCCACACTAATAGGGAAGTTGGATGCAGATTACATGAGAATGCCCTGAACTATCTTCTCAATTTTTCTGTAAATGTAAAACTCTTCTAAAAATTAAAGTCTTTTTAAAAAATCAACTACAAGTTACAGTATAAATTACATAAAAGAAACAACTTACCAGATGTCATGGAAGGGGTTGGGGGAAAAACCAAATTTCTGCTTCGGTTCCAGAAGTCCACAAAGGAGACAGTGGTGGCTTCTCTGCCTTGGTACAGATATTTGGAACTAGCTGACTGTGTAGGTCTTTGGGGCCGCAGTTGCAAAACCACACTTATACAGCAGAAGTGAAACTGACTTGCCATTAGAGGGCTATTTACCACAGTCTCCTCCCTTAGATACTGATTTCTGCTATTTTCCTCTTTCATTTAAACTTAAATTATATGTGAATTGGGGATCTTGCATCATTCTCTGTCCTATTCCTACAAGCAGGCAGATCTGCTTTTTCCTTCTCAAACAGATGGCAGCATCCACCCTAAAGCATCCTTTCTTTGAGGGGGAAGGCCATTCAGATGATCTGGCTCACTTGAGGAGATAGGAAAATGCCCCAGGTTTCAAGAGAGAAAAAGCACTGATTCCAAGATACCCAAATATAAGACATAACTGGGAGAGAGGGATGCTATAAGATTAAAATAAATGAAAACAATTCTTGATGCAAAGTCTTGAAGCTCACCAAAAATTAAATTCACCCAAACTAGACAGGCTTCTAAAAATAGGGTGGGTTACCATCTCCATAGGAAGTTTATGAGTGGGTCTAATGACAACAATGGACTAAAAATCTATCCTTTATAGAGTCGTTGATTTAAATGGCTGAGAGTATTTCCAGTAAAAAAAAAAAAGTATGAGAAATGTCCCTCTAGTGAATATTTAAGAGTTCCTTTGTTAAATATTTTATGTTGTTAAGTAGGAGCTGCAGGGTTCTAGAAACTGAAGCAGCAGCTAAAACCTAACAGGGCTGGTGGAGTGTAAATTGGTATAGCAAAAATATAAATTCACCAAAAATAAAACAAGATTCACTTGTTTGATTGTAGAAATGAGTGGCATACAGCTTTAAATCTCTTTCTGAAACTTAAAATTTAAGTCCATAATTTTTAAAAACTCAGAAAAAAGGTATTTGTAAAGTGCTATCCAGGAGAGAAGAAAATGGAACCCAATCCGTTTTGCTCTGTCTTGCAACCCAAACAATCACACTGAGTATAAAGGAAAAGCTATTTTCTGAACCTTTAGCCTCAGGTTGTATGGTCACATTCAAAGGCTGACTTAGCCATTACCAGAACGACCCTCAGTAACTGTAGATATGTATTCAGTCCAACGTGGGGATTCAGAAAGTAAAGAGGTCAAAATGTGGAAAGAACAGAAAAGTTTTTAGACAGTGATCTTGAAAACTGCTTTGAACTTTTGGCAAGATGATGAAGCTTCTCCATAATGAAACCATAGAAATACCAATAAGTTCAAAACAAAAAAAAATCAACATGAATACCATCACAAGCATTGAATCTTGTACTTATCTCTGGGCAAAATCACACCCTATAAGTATTCATGTCATGTGTGCTTAGCTCTCCCTCTACTGGATATTTCTTTGCTTCAACAGTTTACTACATTCTTACTCAGAAGTGCTACTAAATAACTTGGTAACTAAAATTACTGTTGAACGTTTTGAAAGCTGCCCAAGTTCTTTATGGTAATCCTTGGCACCTGCTATTGGATGCCTGAATGCTAGGCCTATTAGAAATTTGGTCAATCAGGCTGAATTTCCACTGAATTCACTGAAAATAGTAAAGCAATTGACAGAGAACATCCACAGAGCCCCATCATCACACCCAACCACCTGCCTTCAAGCCCGTTAATCGATGAATTATCATGTGCTCATTAAAGTTCAATCCCTCTCTTGTGTGCCAGATCCCATCCCTCTCTGCAACTGAAGGACTAGGTACAGCACTTTTTCTTCTCTTAATTTATAACTTTCACTCTCCCAAAGGATTATTCCTTTGGGCGTGCTAACATACTGTCATTTATTCCCTTTTAACAAATACTCCTTTACCTCAGTTTCCCTGCCATCTATTACCCCATTTCTCTGTACTTCTTTATGACAAGATTTCTCAAAATAGTTGTCTTAACTCACTGTCTCAAATTCCTCTCCTCTCAATCCATCATAAACCTACTCCAGTCAAGCCTTCACCCTTACCATTCCACCAAAACTGTTCTTGTCAAAGTCTCCAATGATCCCAGTCAACTTTCAACTCACATCCTCCTTGACTCATCAGTAGCATCCACCCTGGCTGATCATTCCCTCCCTGACATACTTGTCCTCACTTGGCTTCTAGATAACCACACTCTCCTAGTTTTTCTTCCCACCTCCCTGGAGGCACCTCCTCAGTCTCCCTTCTTGGTTATTATTCTTCTCCACAACCTGTTAATAATAAAATACCCCAAGGCTTAGTCCTTCGTCTCTTCTCTTTCGTTTCCACATTTCACCCTGTTTCATAGCTTTAAATTTCACCTGTGTGTTTGTAACTCTCCACTGACATCTCCAGTCCTGACCTCCTTCACATCTTACTACTCACTAGGCTTCCCAAAGTACAACAGGTCCAAAGTGACCCTCTGACGCCCCCTGAAGCCCCACCCTACCGAGTCTTCTCCATTTTGGCTAATGGAAACTACATTGTTCCAGTCCTTTGGTCCAAGAGCTTTGGTGTCACATTTGATATTGGTGTCTGTCTTTCTCCCATATCCCACATATGATCTGTCAGGAAGTCTTGTTAGAATCTTCAAATTATGTTCAGAATCTGAACACTTCTTACCATCTCTACTGCTTATTACCCCGACTTGAGTTAAAATAATCTCCGGCTTCGTTTAGTGGTTCCTAAGCTGCTGCATATTGGAATCACCCAAGAATCTTTTAAACATACTAATGCCTGGCTCCCACTCCTTTATATTCTTTTTTTTTTTTTTTTAATTTACCCTGATGAAGCTAAGAAAAACCTGGTTGCTACTCCTTGCTATTCTAATAGGTAAGGAATGGGGCTGGGCACTGGGATTTTTCACTGCTTTCCAGATGATTCTAACATGCAGCAAAATTCAGGAATCACTGCCCTGGGCAATGGTCACCCAACCAATCCCCCACTTCTATTGTTCCTTGTCTACTCTCAACACAGCAAATAGATATGCTCGAAAATTATAGATCAGATCAGATAATTTCTTTGCTAAAAACTCCAATGCTCATCATCTCAGAGTAAAAGCCAAAGGCTTTTCAATGGCCTGTGAAGTCTTACATGAGCTGTACTATTCCTACCATCTCCCATTGCTTCTCTGCCCTCTTTATCACCTTGTGACATTCATTGCTCCATTGACATTGGCCTCCTTATTTTCCTTGAATACACCAGGCATCCTCTCACCCTGGGGCCTTTGCACTAACTGTTCCCTCAGCCTGAAACACTCCTTCCCCAGATATCTACATATCAAGTATTAGCTCAAATAACACATTCTCAATAAAGCCTACCCTGACCTCTATTTAAAGTTACAACTCGGCTTGGCGTGGTGGCTCACGCCTGTAATCCTAGCACTGTGGGAGGCCAAGGCGGGCAGATTGCTCAAGGTCAGGAGTTCGAAACCAGCCTGAGCAAGAGCAAGACCCCGTCTCTACTATAAATAGAAAGAAATTAATTGGCCAACTAATATATATAGAAAAAATTAGCTGGGCATGGTGGCACATGCCTGTAGTCCCAGCTACTCGGGAGGCTGAGGCAGCAGGATCGCTTGAGCCCAGGAGTTTGAGGTTGCTGTGAGCTAGGCTGATGCCACGGCACTCACTCTAGCCTGGGCAACAAAGCAGGACTCTGTCTCAAAAATAAAAAATAAAGTTACAACTATACTATTCTATCTATCTATCTAAGGTCAAAGAATGACGAGGTGGATGATGGTGCCTTTAGATAAGAACAGGGTGTAAAGAGATTTGAAATGAAATTAGAGTTCTGTTTTGGACATGTTAAGTTTGACATGCATATTAGACCTCTAATAAGATGTGAAATAGGGGAGATGTTGGTTTTGGACTATAAACCTGGGAGCAGATAATGGTATTTAATGGAGCTCTGGAAATCACCTTGGGAGAGATAAGACTGAGTGACCCCTAGATAATACTTTTTTTTTTTTTTTTAAGACAGAGTCTCGTTCTATTGCCCTGGCTAGAGTGCCATGGCTTCAGCCTAGCTCACAGCAACCTCAAACTCCTGGGCTCAAGCGGATCCTGCTGCCTCAACCTCCCAAGTTAGCTAGGACTACAGGCATGTGCCACCTGTGTCTGGGCTAATTTTTTCAATATATTTTTAATTGTCTAGCTAATTTCTTTCTATTTTTAGTAAAGATCAGGTCTCGCTCTTGCTCAGACTGGTCTCAGACTGCTGAGCTCAAACGATCCACCCGCCTCCACCTCCCAGAGTGCTAGGATTACAGGCATGAGCCACTGCTCCACCTGGCCTAATATTAATATTTTAAGGTGAGTCAGAGGAGCCCGTGAAAGAGACTGAGAAGGGGAAGAAAAACCAAGAGAGTGGAGGGCCCTATCATAAAAGATTTTCATGGAGAGAACTTATATTCATTGGTAGTAGGATGACAATAAAGGACAGAAAAATATCACTGAATGTGGCAAGGTGGGAACTCACAAAGCTTGACCAGGCCAGTTTCCGTGTCTCAGTGGGTTCAAAGACTCATCGTTACCTCAACTCTAGTGGGAAGGAACTGTAGATATCACGTATTCCTATCTTTAGGAAAGAGAGGGATTCTTCATCTCTGGCTTATGGACAAACGAGATCACGGATGGGTTTCAGGAAAACACTCTCCCAAGTCCTGCCTCCAAACTCTGCAAAGTTTTGTGCGTGTGTTTTTCTGAAGAGACATCACCCACAGCTTTCATGAGGGTTATCAATGATATGTGCCATTCACCTCAGACCAAGGTGACCAACTCGTCTTGAAGCCTGCACGTCAGACTGCTACTTGCTTCCTGCCTGGTTTTTTCCAGTCTCTGAATTTAAATTCCACAACACTACAGGGTTCATCTGCTGTGGTCTCGTCCACTCACGCTCCCGCCCAGCTTCCCGGAATGTGACACACCTGAGCACCTCCTACACGTCCATTTAGAGACCACACACTTCCACACTCTCACTTAGGTTTCCTGGCGCAGCCTCCATACAGCTTTGTCCCACAACTGTACTGCCCAGGTCGAGCTTTCTAACCCGCCCGCTCCTCCCCGACAGAGACATTCCGTACGGACGCGCCCCTAGTGCCCTTTTATCCCGGGACGTACAGCCGAGGCCGCCCCTCTCCCGCCTCCCGCCCGCAGGGCAGCCGCGTCAGGGAAATGGGGGCGGGGTTTGGCGCGCGCAGTATTCTGGGAAGAGCTTTACGATACGTTGACCGTCATTTTACGACAGATCGGAGTTGCTTTGTGGTTGTCAGCTTTCCCCGTGGTCTGAGTTGGTAGCCGTATTATCCGTGGTGGTATCTTTTACCGCGACGCAGAAATGAAGCAGAAGCGGAAAGGTATGAAAGGGGAGGGAGAGGAAAACATGGGGGTGGCCGGAAAGGGGCGAACGCTCGAGCGATCGCATGCTGAACCCAACTTTTCTCGCGGGAGTCCTCTGCCTGGTCCAGTTGCACACCACCTGGAACCAATCGATCTGTCGGTTCCAGCCTCCTGCCTTCTCATTTTACCTGTTGCGTTTTTTAAACCAACCTACCTTTACTCTGTTCCTCTTTGGCAGTCATTATATGTCTTTTGCATAAAGGGCAGGGAAAGCTATATTCCAAAGTGTGCACTCCAAGGAGTTAACGCGGTCGATTTAACGGGTTCTCGGACTCTTCATTTGTTAAGATTTGTTTTGCGACATAATTGATGTTTGTTTACTTGAGAGTTTCGTAGATAAGGATAGTGGTTATCATAATAGCTACCATTTATTGGCCCTTTATTAGTATCATCTTCATTTTACAGATGAAGCTGACATTAAGAGAGTTAAGTAATTTTCCCAGTCCAAAATTACACGTAGGAGGTGTGAAGGTAGTTAGTCAGGCTGTATCTATGACCTTAAAAAATATGTAATGAAAAATAAATGTGTCATTAAACACTGTGCCTCTTGGCATTAACTGCTAGCCCTCCAAGCAACAGCTCCAAGTGTTCACGTTACCTCGCAGCATCAAATTTTGCATGCTGGCCCGGCGTGGTGGCTCACGCCTGTAATCCTAGCACTCTGGGAGGCCAGGCGGGTGGATTGCTCAAGGTCAGGAGTTCGAAACCAGCCTGAGCAAGAGTGAGACCTCATCTCTACTAAAAATAGAAAGAAATTAATTGGTCAACTAAAAGTACATAGAAAAAATTAGCTGGGCATGGTGGCACATGCCTGTAGTCCCAGATACTCAGGAGGCTGAGGCAGAAGGATTGCTTGAGCCCAGGAGTTTGAGGTGCCACGGCACTCTAGCTGGGGCAACAGAGTGAGATTCTGCCTCAAAAAAAAAAAAAGTAAAAAAAAATTTTGCATGCCCCAGGTTAATTTATCTCACTTTAACTTACTTGCTCCTTTTCAATTTGTCAGGCTTCTTTTAACTTCATATGTCACCAAGCCTCATTAGTTTTTACTTAGAAATTGCCTCTTGAAATCGTTTACTTCTCATTCTGGCCACCATCCTCCTAACCCACCTTGCGCAATAACTAATATTTGAATAGTACTTTGGATTTCATATACATTATTTCAATTGATTTTTACAATGGTCTTGTGAGATTTGTAAGTATTTTTCAAATTTTACAGGAAATGAGCACTCAGAATGTTATTTATCTTCCCTTTATCACACAAGCAGTAGGGGTTAAGACTAAGGCTTTCTTAAATCTTGTAGGTTTTTTTTTTCTTTTTAAACAGTGTTGCCTTTCAAGAGCCTGTTACTTAGTATCCACATCTTCTGAATCATTCTTTTGCTCAGGCTGGAGTACAGTGGCAAGATCATAGCTTACTATAACCTCAAACTCCTGGGCTCAAACAATCCTCCCACCTCAGTCTCCTGAGTAGCTGGGACTACAGGCATACTCCACCATGCCTCGCTAATTTTATTTTTTTGTAGAGACATGATCTGACTATGTTGTCCAGGTTGGTCCCAAACTCCTCTCAGCCTCCCAAAGTGCTAGGATTACTGGTGTGATCAACAACATACCACTGTGAATCATTCTTTGTCCTGATAATGTTCTCACTTTCCTTAAGCATTACTTTCATTTTTTTATTTCCAAAGTTGAGAATATATAATTCTCTGACTATTGCATTCCATTTAAATGCCTTTACCTAGTGGCCAGTGTACCCTCTAATCTGTTCTTTACTACACCCTATCAGAAAGCCTGTGTTCTGGTAGGCAGTGCTCCTATGCACAAAGACACATAATTCCTAATTCTGACGTTATTCCTTCTGGATTGCCTTCCGTTTTGTGTGTCTAAGTCCTGCCCATTTAAAGAACCTTGTGTGATGTCCTCCATGAAGCCTTTTCCTGCTAATTTACTCCTGCTGTTAATTGATTCAGTCAAGGACTGTATATGTGGTTTTTAAATCTTATCTATTTTTAATCAGCGGAACCCCTTCTACCCTCCAAATAAATTCTTATGCAGAACTTCAATACATTTATATAATGAAAGCATAGCTGCTGTGGTTGAAATGGAGAAAGAAGCCCCTCCCTTTTTTTCCTCTCCCACTACCCTCTTCCTCTACCACTATACCACCACCAATCCTGCCTCTGTTAGGATTAGATAGCCCCTAAGGCATCTTTGTAGAACTCTGAAGTGCTGATTTGCATGGCTTAGAAAGCTTTAAGTCTTTGATTATAGATGGACTTTTTTTCCTCTCAGAACATTGTGTATGTCTTAGCCTTGCCTCATTAATTAGAGGCAGTGTGGTGCAGTGAAAAAGTGTAGTTGTGGTGAAAAGACCAGGATTTGAGTCTTAACTATGATGTTTACAATGGTGTCTTAGCTTGCCTTAGTCTTGTTTTTTTACATCTGTGAAATGGAATAAGAGTACCTACTTTACAGTGTTATTGTAAAGTAGGTTTGCAAATGAGGTTTGTGAGGTTTCAAATGAGATAAAGAATAAATGAAAGAGTTCCGGAACAGCCAGTGCTTTCTCATTCATTCTTCTGTCTGATGGCTTTGTTATCTTTGCATGCTAGCAAGAAGCATGCTTGCTGAGAGCCTCCAAGCTGAAATCTCTCAGCTTTTGTCACTAGAAAAAGACCAACATTTTTTTGCCCTTAGGAAAAGAACTTAGATTTGTCTGGCTTGGATAGATGCCCAACCTTGAACCAATCATCGAACTGTGATTGAGGGGATGAGATCATATAAGAACATGTTAGCTTCAGCTATTGCCTTTGGATGAGAAGGGGAGCCCCACTTCCCAGGAGAAGTCATGATAGTGGGCAGACAATAATTTAGAAATGCATTAAGATCCTTACTTAGATAGGCATATAACCCACATCCCTACTTTGATTACTACTTCTGCAGACATCTGTGTTTCAATTTCACCCCTTGGCATCTTTATGGGATAGGCAAATATTACTGTTCTATCTACCTCACTTTGTTCTGAGAATCAGTTGAATTAATGCATTTAAATGTTCTTCATGAACTCTTAAGTATTATGCAAATATTCATAATTACAAATCTGGAGATAAAGGGAAAATATTTAACTACTTTGGTTCTTTCCTGTATCATTGGGTTCTTTTTCTTCATGTTTGTTTCTACTCTGTCTGTAATCCTCTTGTAGTAGATGTGTTTTTAAAGGGATCTTCTCTAATTTACGGGTAAAGCCAGGTTTGTTTTAAATTAAAGATACAAAAGGTACAATCAAATCGTAAATAGAGGTTTAGTGTCTTATAAACTTGAGCTTTTCATTTGGCATATTTGGAATGATTTTTGGAAAGAAAACATCTACTAAATCAAGTTTTAAAATCTTTATTAATAATATGATTTTTGACATCATTGAATGTTATCTTTCCAGGAGATCTCAGCCCTGCTGAGCTGATGATGCTGACTATAGGAGATGTTATTAAACAACTGATAGAAGCCCATGAACAGGGGAAAGACATCAATCTAAATAAGTAAGTGGCTCTATAAAAAGGGAGCAACCTTGTTCTTAGCTAGTAGAGTTCTTTTATGAAATTATCTAATACTACTCATTTTCTATCTCATGTTTCATTTTAGCTAAGAATTTTAGCTTTCTGCCTTGTTCTGTCACTCATTTCTTTGTGGCAGAATTGTCTCATAGCCTAATAATACTAATAGCTTCTGACATTTATTGGGCACTTACTATATTCCAGACACTGTAATTAGTATATTGTATATATTAGCTCAGTTAATTCTTTCAAAACCTGCATGAAGTAACTACTGATATCAGCCTCATTTGACAGGGGGGTCGTGTGAGGCATAGCGAGGTTAAGTAATTTGTCTAGGGGTAAATAACTAGTGATTGGCAGAGCTGGGATTGGGAATTAGGTTATCCATCTCCAGATCTGTCTCCTTGGCTACCTCACTTCATCCTGCTTCTCTTCCCTACTGTCTCAGTGGAAGCAGCAGCTCGCTCTCTGCCAGGAAAACCCTTCCTTTGTGGCCCTTGATCTAATGTAACCCTTTCGTGCTTTAGGACCTCTTTGACATGTTCATCCACTTCCTCTCCATAGTCATGTTCAGCATGGACTTTGCTATTCCTTCAAATAAGAGTGGTCTTTCATCTCTGCATCTGTATTTTTAACTATGTATTCTTTCTTGTATAGATCTTCCCTAATGGAAAGGTTTTCCCCCAACCCCAGCTCGTCTAATCACCACATGCATGACCTTTTTGTAGACCTTATTCTCTGTTACTTGAGATACTGCACCCATTCATTGGGCCCTTCTCCCTCCGTAGTCCCCTGGTTTTCTTTCTGATACTTGAGGGTGAAAAGAGGAAATCATTCATTCATGAATTTTATTCTTCCGTGTCCTGATATTAGCAGACTTAAAGCCATTCTTGTCACATGGTGAAGGGATAGAGGAGTGACAGGAGTTAATGATGTTATTTATATGTCATCCTTTATTGTGATCTTGATAATGCCAGATGCTTTACTTTTCAGGGTGAAAACCAGAACAGCTGCCAAATATGGCCTTTCCGCACAGCCCCGCCTGGTGGATATCATTGCCGCTGTCCCTCCTCAGTATCGCAAGGTCTTGGTTCCCAAGTTAAAGGCAAAACCCATCAGAACTGCCAGTGGGGTGAGTGATCCTGACATACTGACACACTG